CTGATAGACAAAAGGAACGACTTCTTTAATGTCAAAGAGACTAGCATATGAATTTCATTTTTATTGCCACAAAACATAATTTTATTATTTTTATGAGATCTACAATACCATGCTAAGCGCTTAAGGAAATTTCAAAAAATAACAACTTTATAGATCAGAGAATAGTGGACTATTCTTTTATTAAACCAGAAATAAAAAAAATAAAATAAGTTTAAAAACGATTCAATCAGAATCAGTGTTGCAAATGTAGATGTCTACACTAGATGAAGAATGTAGATTCTTCAATAGTTTTTGTCTAGCTAAGAAACTTTCTTCATAAAGATCGATTCTACATGAAGATAGAAAATCTAATCTACACAAAGATTATTTGTACATAAAGATTCTGTCTACATAAAGATTCGATGTAGATGTCTACAATTCTACATTTTTTCCAGGTCTACATCAGAGAAGAATGTAGAATTATAGCAACTAAATCGAATCTTTATGTAGACAGAATCTTTATGTACAAATAATCTTTGTGTAGATTAGATTTTCTATCTTCATATAGAATCGATCTTTATGAAGAAATTTCTGTCTCAGAATTTATCTGATCCAGACAAATAGCCAGAATGCAACACTGATCAGAATAAATGAAATGATTGACGACAAAACCTTTATAAAAAAGACAACTTCTTTGTACGTAATGGATATAAAGTTTCCCAAATTTGAGTAAAACTAGTTCTTAAAAAATTTATTTTGCTTGTGAAAGGATTCTAATGAAAAATAATTCAACGCTTTAACTTCCAAATAGAAGAAGCTTGAAACTTACATGAACTAATATTTCCATCGTTTAACTTTAGAAGTTAATAAAGTAAATAAATGAAATATTCACATACCAAATGATGTATACTTCTGCTGTTATTTTTCTTACATAATTCGATTTATCTTGACATTATGATTCAGTTCCTTATCTATTCTTTCGTTTTTCAAATGCAAATCATTTTGAAGGAAAAATGTTTTGAAGTGACAAAATCAAAATTCAATAAATACAACTTCGTTTAAATTCACAAGAAAGCACACTGAGGTCGAATGAAAAATGTACTTACAGTGTGAAAGAAAATTTTTGTAAAAAACATAGAAAGAACTTTTTAAAAATTTTCTTCATAGTTGTGGTCTAGAATTTTGTAACATCTCAAATAAAGCAATTTTTTTTTCTTTTTGCATAACAAAATAAGTGAACGAGCTCATAACAAAATAATTAAAATTTATAACCGCAACTTATCAGTCATTATCATATAAAATTTTTACATTTACCATATATATTTTTATTACCTACTTAAATTATGTCACTGAATAAAATTTTCATGGTGATGACATAATCACCCAATTTTCAAACCCATTAGAGCTTGACATTATGAATGAAAAAATGCATTTAATTTGAAATTTTGTAATTTACTCTATTTTTACTCATGATTTATTCTATTGATTATTTATCAGTAAAACTTTTAAAACAATACGTGAGCTATTTATTGATCACAGCGGGATTAAAAATTATTTTATTGTACTTTAATGCAATGGAAAAAAAATGATTTTTTTACAACCAAACCCAAAAATTCGTGAACATATTTTAGACCGAACTCGACTTTAAAGTCCAGCAGAGATTTGAAAAAAATATAAATCATTTTTGCCAAAATTTTCATTGAATCCATAAGAAAAAGCTCGGTTATTGATACTCGAGATAAAAGAGCTTTAACGGTTGGCTCAGTTTTTGTTTGGAATTAATTTGTTGCAAAATTCGAGTTCTGCGAAAATTTGTATTTTCAAAATAATTAATTAACAACATTTATTTTCAAAAGGATGTAAATATTGTTACATGTACAACATAAGTCGTAGTCTATTATTCTTTAATATTTCATCGTGAAAATTTTCCAAAGCATTTGCATTTTTTTTTCTAGCTAAAGATACGAAGCCTTTAGGGAAATTATAAAAATCAAAAATCTATCAACGATTTCATTTAACAAATCAAAATACTGATTTTTATAAATTTCCTGTTCATTTAATTTTTGTCTGTCAATTGTAATATTCAAACTGTGCAAGAAAAAAATAAAATAAATAAAGATTTTTTTTTATTTGTTTGAATATTAACACTTTAAAAAATTAATTTGTGTTAAATGATTTTTATCTTAAATAAATATTATACTCAAAATATAAAATGATTGGTAAATCTTGTAAACTGTCCAAATGATCTTAATGAATTTATCGAATTTATTAAAATATCAATATTATTTGTTATTATGACGTTGAACATTGAAATGTGATTTGCATTCATATTGTTCAAAAGTTTTAAATCTAAATCTTTACTTTTATGCTTAAATGCAAATGTAACCAAATAAATTGCCATTTGAAGAAAGATAGAAGTGACCAATACATGAATTGAACTCGTGTATATAAAAAGGCTTATCACCTGTATTTCCAAGATCTTTCTTTCTGTATTAACTTCGTGTTTTAATCGAACTTGAAGTATAATTTTTTCATAGATGCATATACTTTACCGAACAAACTTAACTTATTTTAATCGGCAAGTTAATCGTAAAATCAAAAAAAAAACTAATCTGAAAATATTAAGGAATTAAAGTTAAAAAACGTAAGAGTTTTAATTAAAAATAAATTTTATTACATTAATTTTATCTTTTCTTCACCTTTTACTTGAGATACTCTAATAGTACATGAAGTCATAAGAACATTCCTTTTTTCTTATTAAGATTTATTAATTAAAACTTTGTTTTAAAATTTGTTGTTCTGAAATGTACATATGTGTATGCTTTATTTTTTGTTTATGTGGTGTTAATGTAAAATATTTTAATTTTATTGGATGTTTTTGTTTCCTTAAAATACACACATGAACATTCGGAAACGTATGGTGTGGCAAAAAAGTTGCACATTTCAATGTTTGTGTTGTAAGCACAAATTGCCAATTTTTGTTTTTCCAATGTTTGCATAATTGTACATATATTTAGCAAACACTCACAAAATTGGAATGACCAACTTTAGCTTTAATCAATTTTTTCCTACTTGTTTACTTGGAGCAAGGACGGATGTAATAGAAAGGAGAGATGGGGGTAAGAAGACTAAACAGACATGAAACGAGCATTGTGAAATATTCATAACATGTATGATACTACTTTTGCTTCTCACTTCAAAACGTGTAGACTACGATATTGTTTATTCATAATATGACAGACAATTATGTTAGTTTAGATAATGAAGATGTGTAAGTATGTCTATAGTCGAAAAAAATTGATTTATATTCAATTGAATGAGAGACAAATTGAAAATAATTGTTTGATACCTTTTTTATGTCTTTTCCGTCTTTTCTGAAAACTTTATCTCAAATGATTTTTAATTACACTATTTTATTCATTCATTATTTCTATACACATGATATGTACGCTATATCGTAAAGCTCGAATCACATTCTACATCTTGTGTATTGTTTCATTAGAGTTAAATTCAAATCATGTCTTTTTATTTACTCCTAATTACGTTTCATTTATTTGTATGAATTTTAAATGAAAATCTTATTTCGAAATATTTCATTCAAATTGACTTTGAATAAGAAGGAAGTGTGAATTAATTGAAACCTTCTTTGTAATTTCGTAAATAAATAACAATACTTTAGGAACTGCTGATCAGCACCTCAACAACTCAAGTATAATGTAATTTGCTTTTAATGAAATTTTCATGATTGATACTAATTAAAAGAAAATTTGTTAAGGAAGCAATTAAACATCATACAGAATGTAGCAAAGACTATTGCATACTTATTCTAATTTATGTTTCAAAATCTTTGATTTAAAACCAATTTTTTTTAAAAATTCATTGTATTTAATAAATCCTGATTTTTTTTAAAATTTCTTAAAACATTTTAAAACATTTTTAAGCCAGGTATTTTGAAATTAAGTGAAAACAATAAACGAAATCTTTAACACTGACAATATATGTATAAAGAATAAATTAGTTAAGCTGAACATTTCCGTGATGATATTTTATAAATAAACAAAAAAGTTTGGAAAAGTTTTCAGCAAGAAATTATGATAATAAAGGTCGCTTTTGTGCTTGAACTTTGAATATTTCTGTATGATTTAATATTTCTTCAGGGAAATGGCACATGGTGGTAGTAACTTTTATTTCTCAAAAAAAATTGGAGGTATTTTAAAAAAAAAGATTTCAAATGATTCCATATTTCTCAACAAAAAATATGGAAAGACTCATTTTTGAGTACTCATCTTAGAAAGTACACATAAAATTGTATATTAATCTTGAGCATCATGCAAAATGCCAATATCCATGATATCATTCACGTTACGACGTTTACAATTTTTGTGACAGTTTCATTTCACGATTTTTTTTTCTCTTTCGTAAACGAATGAACAATCTTGACATTCAAAAGGTTTTGTGAAATGTGAACGAATTAAAGCTCAATCTTTATGACAAAGTAAAAAGAGAATAAAGAAAGGTAAATCAAGAATAATTCAAAAGAGTTTTATATTTTCTCTTAAAATATTTCGTGAATTTATAGAATTTAACTTTCGTTTCTTGCAATATCAATCGATTCATCTGTCCATTATAAATGAACAGTACTCAAACAAAATTTATTATCAAGAGCAATGAAAATTTAGAAGATTGGTCGAACTACTAGAAATTTATTCTGAAAAGATGATTCAAGTTCATGATAAATTATCGTTTTTATAAGCTGTGAGTAGTTCATCATTAGAATGGAATCTAATAAGATTTAATCACAACCACGAGTTGTATAATTCCTTTAGATATCTTAAACACTTCCAATTAATCGTTTCATTTTTATTTTGAAAGGTCGAGCAAAAAGAGTTTTTGATTAATGACGTAGTCTGTTGAGTTATTTATTTTAAAGCTCTGAACACTGGTCCTTAGAGATATTTAAAAGATTTTTTAAAATCTCTGTAACAAGAAAATTCATCAATCAATCATTATAAAACTTAATTCCTTCAAGTAGATTTAACGAAATATTTTAACCACAAATAGATTTCTTTTCAACATTTTCATAAATTTTCATCTACACATAGTATGAATTTTCTGAGTTCATAACCATTATTAACAAAATTCTTTAAAAATAAATGAGAATTTTTTCAATACAACTAAATAGCTTAAGTTCAAACTTTTCAACCACTTTGAATTTCATCTCCAATCTAATTCAAAACTCAAACACAAATATTTTCTAGAATATACAACAATATACTCTTCATAAAGATCTATTATTATTCATATTATTATTATTATTATTATTATTTTCATCAATTCGTTTAAAACTTTTGCTTTACTTGTACCGCAAAACCAATATTTCATCATTTATGAAGCATTCCCTTTATCATCGTATTTTAATTCAACTAATTGTTTCTTTGAATTCCTTTTGTATAAATTCCTTGAAAAAATTGAGCTTGATGGCTGTGATACCAAAACTTTTGGTGTTACGACATTACTTCTATCAAATGTTTCATTTTGTACAAAATTTTCGTTTTCAATAAATGTTTCATTAGTATTATTTGCGTAGGTGGTTTTATTTTTAGGTGACATGCGATTTTGTGAACTGTAAAATGGATTTGTAGTGGTTCTTTTTCGATGATGTAAATTGCTTGGTCCCTTTCGTGGCTTTAAAACACCAAATAATGTTTCCTCTGACTTTGATGGAGCAAGATTTTGTCGTGGTGGAATTATTTCGCCTGACGAATAGTAGTTGGAATCCCCACTGTTCTTTCTAGAGCTATTTAAACACGACGTGACAGAAAGTCGCCCACTTTCTATATAATTTTGTTCAGCTGACAACTGCTGTTCTGATTTCGAATGTTCAGTTGACAAACATGTTACTGAACCAGCCATCAAATGATTTGACTGATTCGTTGGTCCTGGCCATGAACCTCTTGTTGGTGTCTTGATTCTACTATCCTTACTTGGAAGCTCTAACAAATGACTCGATGATGATGTTGGAATTGTATGCATTGTCATAGAAAATTCTAGTATTCGTTTCATATCGAGCTCAGGAGATTTTTCTTTTGATCGTGCATATGTTATTACATCCATTAACCATCTGGTAGCTTTCCATACAGCATTTAATTTATTCAACAAATCTTGCAACTTGCTTAGTCTTTCTTTTGTGATTTGAACTTCTTTCTTTGAAAAAGCTTCACGATGCTTATGATTTGCAACCATCATGTCAAACTCAATTATACACGACAGTCTTGAATATTTTTGAATAATATTAATTTGATAGGTTTTAAGATGAATCATCTCATGAACAATCAATGGCAAGCACATTAAATCTGTTCGTCTAAATAAAATATCACTTTGTCCAGGTACACCGCATGGAATTGCATTTTCTGCAGATGGACAAATTATGAGAAAGCTTATTTCATTTGTTAAGTCAATCACCTCTACATCATAAAGTCGATGTAATATTGCAGCTTCGGAAGATATATTTAAGTGCTTAAATAATCTAATGATAGCAAATTTTAAGCTCTCAAGAAAATTTTGTTGCGCTTGCGTTGGATTTACCCCAAGGAGTGACTCAAAGCAGAGTGGAATTTTAATGTTATTTGAGTCTTTGGATTTAATAATGTTCCATTCCTCGGCAGAAATGTGAGAATTTTCTCTAATTCGTACGTGTGGTAAGACATTAGGTGTTTTCACGGGCACAACGACTTGAATCGTGTCAAATGAGCTGTGCATTTTTAGATATCCTAGATACAATCCACGTGACAGTTTTTGATTTGACGCTTGATAGTAATTTATTTGTTCATGTATTCCACTCAACAGAATTTCATTGATTGTGCTATCTTCTAACAGTACAGATACTTTCTTTTGAAGTTTATTCAGAGGTACCCACCTTGAATTGAACATGAATATTTTCGGATTCTGTGAATAAAAAAAATTTAATCAGAAAATAGGACGATCAAATATTTAGAGAGTAAATCATGTTATAGACATACAATATTTAGATAAGGAATTAAAGTCTTAATCATCTAAGAAATAAATTAAATTACATCGTCATGACACTATGCAATTTAAATTTAGTTGAGATGTAGGACAAATAATTTGAGTAAAGTGCTTCATTCCATTAAAAATCACTATGGAAATCATCATGAAATGCTGTCGAATGGATTCAACAATTTTTCATTTCATCCAGATTTTCTCGACAATAAAACTTACAATCTACTCACATAATTACATACCTTTACATTTAAAATGCAACTCAGTACTACCGTCCCGTGAGAGTCTCTCAATGGCTTATGATAAAATTGACCTAGATCAGTAATACCGAGTGCAGATTGCATTTGATAAATTGCTGTCAACAATTTCGTACGGAAATGTATCGCTGAAGTCGATTTCTTTTCCATATCCGTTCGTAACAGTTTTACATCCTCCCATGTACATGAAATCTGATAAAAAATTGGCAAAAAGGAAAAAGATAAAAATCATTATTGAAACTATGAAGGTCAACAATGAGGGAAATTAGAAAAAAATTCTTACTTCCTCTATGTTATGGATGAATGAGTGTATCATCATCAACATATTGCGAAAGTAGTAAAAAATATGATATTTGAATGACCAAGATAGAGCATATCGGAAATGTCGTAAATGGATTTTTGATTGAAATTAATGAGTCATCAATGTGCTATGATAAGCATATGACAAAACTGGGTCATAACATGATAAGTGATTTATTTTTGACCCTTACCTTCATCAGCCAATAGTAATCATTATTTAAGTTGCTAGGGTATGTATCGTCTATTTCAATAACTGGTAAAAAGTCTTCATTCGTTACGAGAACTTTATCGTCGTAAAAAAGTATTGATGCAAGATAAATGCCGCGCCGAAGGCAACGTTGAAATTTCGATGCTGCCGAAAAAAGCTGCTTGATTGAAGTTTTCTTCTTTGGAATTCGTCGTTGTATAGATGAATCAGGTATTTCTGAAGCATCCTCAGGCCTACATAATCTAACTGCCGTAAGTAATTCATCCAATACTTTAGTTTTGCCATGAAATCGTTGTTCTTTTCTCTCAATATCACGCCATGATGATGGAATAATACTTTTTGGGTTTGATAAAACAAATGATCCGAAGCCTTTCACGTTTCCACTACATGCTCGAAAAAAGTATCGACGACCTTGTATCAATTCATTTATATGACAACTCGCCCCCATCGTTCCTTGAAATGTATTCCATTCGGTTATAATTCGTTCACCAATTATAATCGTAAAATCCTCGCGACTTGACCATTGAACTGTGAATGAGAAACAAATTGGTATAGATTGTGATAAGTACATTACTCTCTTTATCCATAAAAAAAATATAATGAAATTTTACCCTTAAACTTTGTACAGATACATTCCGATATTGGCTCGAGAATTTTCGCCATTACTGAATTGGTTCCAATAACATCTGGAATATAATAAATGAAACCTTTTAGAGGAAAATTAAATTTTAAATAGAAATATGCATTTAACTTGTCCTTGCAAAATCTAATTGACTTTGGAAAAGATAAAGCGTTTTTAATATTTTAATGACATAAAAGCGCATTAATTTCCATTTCATAAAATTCTTCACAACTTTAGTCAGAAATGTTTTCATTTTTTATTAAATTGCATGACAACCTACGTATTTGAGAATGAATGCAGATATTTGATTTCTTACCTACTGCAAACGAAATAGGTGGATCAGGTATTTCAATTCGTTGCCAGCCTGATGTCATTCGTCTTAAACCTCGAATTCGTCTTTCCCATACACCCATTTGCCGTTCAGTTTCTGTTCCCGTACAACTTTGACTTGTGGATCCAATGATACTTGAAAACGAAGCACGTGTGTTAAAAGTTTGTCCAGATGTTTCGCTAAGTCCAGCCAAATGATGTAATTTATGTTCTGCGTCATACATTAATGAATTTAAATAGTTCCCAAGATTATCGGAAGTTGATTGTGGACCAGGAAGAGCACCATATTTTAGCAATATTTTTGCCATTTGTCCATTATTCATTAATACAGCAATATCCAAAGCGGATAATCCATCACTGTTTAAACTATTTACATCAATATCTGTATTGTCAAGTATTGAACGAACTTTGTCTAGCATATTATGCTCGACATTGGAGAATAAAGCTGCAAAAAGTTATGAAAAGAGAAAAAAATATGAACATATGACAAACAATCGAGAATGGGAAAGGAAGGCTTTTAATGAACTATTGATCGCTTTAGTTTTATGATGACTTTTATTCTTTTCTCTTCTTTTCTCTGCTGTATTCTGAAATTAAAGCTTTATTTTTTTTATTTTCATCAAAAATATTTTAATTATTTCCTTAATGACACTTTAACGTTTTCTAAGCTTATAACCCTCTTTATATTGTATTATAATTCTTTTCATTACTGTTGTTATTTCCCTTCTTAAATACTTTGCTTGCAAAAATGCTTGACATAAGATGTGAAAGGTCAAAAACCGAACATAATCTGATAATTTAAATTATCCATCTGACTTTTTGTTCATTCATGCCCAGTGGGCTTGGCCAATGTCATGAAAAATATTTTTCCTCTTTATGATTTATTTTTAGTCTTTAAACTGTATATAGAAAATGAAAAACTGAAACAGCATGATTCAGGAAAAAATAATTCAGCTTTTCACAAAAAAAAAATTGTATTTTCATAGTTTTTGCATTCAAGTAGCACAAAAGTGATTTGATACACGATTTAAAGTGGTGAAATGTAAAATAGCTAGTTGAATTTTTTATCGTTTGAAATAACGGATGTTAATTTGCATGTAAAGCTCAAGAAATGGCTATTTTGATAAAATATTAAGGTTAAATGCAATAACCGATTTTGGAACATAGTTCATTTTCTTAGAAAGCATACATAGATCATATTTCATTACTATTGCAATATTTTTTTTATAAAAAATTGCAAAAATATTTTGAGCCCCTAACCCAATCACAATAATGTATGGAGTATTAATACTTCGAATCTGTGTCCATTCAAAAGCTGAACATCATAAGTAAACGACCCTTAGGATAAATTTGCTAAAGTACTATAGAAACAAATGTAAGACTTTGAAAAAGAACGTTTTCAATTTTCTAGCTGTATGTTGTATGTGCTGAGAAAGATAATTTAATTTAATGATACACGAAATGTTAATAATACCACCCTATCGTTTTTTATAGGAGGAATGGAATACCATCATCAAGCTAGTATAGTCGTCTAGCAACTTGAGTTTAAAATTACACTCATTTTATAAATGTACTCTGTAGATTTTTTTTTGCAAAATTGAAGTTAGACTTTTAGAAGAAAAACTTTTCTTAATTACACTTTAAACAAGAGGTTTTCATTAATCAAATTGAATATGAGTATGAAGAAATGAAATAAAAATTTATTAATGTATGTTTATAAATATGAATTTAAGCAACAAAAAAGTTGCAAAACTTCATTTGATAGGAGTGTGTAGTCTAAATGGAAAAATAAAGTAAGTAACATTTTAGAACAGGAAATTGCTTTTTATTTTTGTTCTCCTTTTTTTAGTTTGTCCCTTTTATAACATTTCCTGCATTAATAAATTGAAATAAAACTTTTTTGTATGAAATGCTAGCATAAAAACATATTACAGCAAATTGGCTACGTCAATATTCAGAATATCATTTTTTTCGTCATCATACAAAGAATGGATCTCAATGTGCCAGCAAATTTCTCCCAAAAGAATATTTTTATGGTGATAACTTACAAAATATATCAAAGCAAATATTATAATATCAAGTACAAAAATATGAATGTACGACAATGTTGAATACTGATACAATTTTTAAATCTATGTACTGATAACAAATTCTGCATGCTGAAGCTTCATGAATAAAAAAATGTATTAAGGGAAATTCATATCTACATGTATTTCATTTTGCGGTTGGAGGCTTTTAGTTTGCATATTTTTGATGATAGTTCTTCATTTCATTTGGGAAATGATACAAATGAAATCTAAAGTGTCGAAATGTTTTTGAATTTTGTCCAATGTTTCAAAATATTTAATAGCAAAAATAAGTAAGAGACTGACTTGAGATTTCATCGAATGTTAAAAGTTTCACTTATCAATTTTATAAATTAAAGGAACAACTTATTAACATTAAAAATGTTTTTGTTTTTTTTTTATATAAAAAAAGTTTATTAAAAGTTTTAAGCAAGTCATTTTCTATTATAAGTATTTCGAAAAACCTAATTAAAAAGAATACGGAGTGAAAGCTGTAAATTATTAGATCTAAACAAAGACTTGCGGACATAGATGAACATGTTGAGTTCCTGAACCAAAATAACTTAAAACAAAATTACAACAAATATGCAAAAAAGTTCTATCAAGTTCTATCCGCTTCCAAAATTACCACAAATCCTACATTGTTTTGTGTGGGAATTAAACTTTTTTGTTTTGGTTTTTAAATAAATTTGGAATATTCGAAATATTTCATGTAAGTCTGAGATGATCAAATACGAAATAAGTTCTTTATTTATTCAAACTTGACAACAATTTCGAATCGTTGGTTCATTTCTATAAAAAAACATAACGTTAGTCTGTATAAATGAATCCATTATTAATTTTTTTTCTAAGTTTAGAACGGCATGAACGTGTTTCAAAAATTTCTTTAGGTTTTCAATTATAGATAAATTAATAATCGATAAATTGGTTTCTTTATCTCATTTTTTTTTGTTTTGGATGTTGAAAGATAAAACCCATTTCAAGTTCTTTAATTCGTTCTTGTTATAAAGGTTCAATTATATTACTAAGGAAAGGGTTATATATTCTACAAATTTTTCACATGGAAAGAATTGTTCTGTAATCTTTATTGAACTAAGAAAAGAAAGAGAAAAAATAAAACTTTTGCTTGTTGTTGTTCTAGTGTTCATTTTTTCTTAAATAAATTATATTAGTAAGACAAAAGTTTTGGGTAAAAATTCGGTTTGTCTAACAATCTTGAAACAGCACTAAATAATAAATGGTTCTCAATATTGGAGGCTACATAAGATATAAGAAGAATTTGAGTAAGATGTTTTTTTTTGTCATTCGTGTTTCACAAAATCTCATAAATTTTCCCTTACAACTGCCCATTTTAGCACATTTATCTTCTATCTAAATGCAAAAGTTTCATTTCGCTTGACCTCGTGCTCGTCTGCATATGATTGAGTTTCTATTCGCCTCCTTAAGTTCTTTTCATATTCCAACAAACACATGTCTCAAAAGTATACATCCCTTCCTAAAATAAATTTCGTTGGTAAATCACTTTCAAGAAGAACAAAAAAAGAACGAAAAAAATTTGGAGGAAGGAAGGAAATACTACCACAAAAGTTATTTTTCTTTGGCTTTGTTTCATTGAAAACTCAGCACGACGTTTAAATATTAACGAAAATTGGTCTAGAAAAAGAAACGATACAATACGTAATCAAACAACAAAAAGAGTGGAAAAAATGTATCGGCATACACGACTTCTTTCGTAACGTGACGTAAATTTAGCATAAAGTAAAAATACATCATCCCGTTGCATGCTTTTACGTAGCTGGAAATGAAATCTTGAGATCTAAAAATAGAATCTGATCAATTACCTTATGTAATGACTTAAAGAGTACGAGGGTCGTGGAAATCTTCTGTCTAAGTTTATAAGTTAAGTATTAAAATTTTATTAGACATTGAAATTCAAATTAACAGTAGGAAGCACTTATTGATGATAATGAAATTTTGATGAATAAAGGAGACGGAAATTAAATTAATAAATATTGTAATAAAATTTCCCTAATTTAATTGATCTTAGAATTTACTTTTTTTTTATTACAAGCAATTTAACGAGCTCCATAACACATCAACACGTTTTAAACCTATTTTAATATGATATAAAAATAAGTGAGACTTTTCTAACGATATGTAAAGAGAATGAAGAATAAAAAAGTTCATTTTGTAAATTTAATGGAATAAAATATTATTCCAACCTTTTTGCCTTCTGCATGAATTTTTTCTTTCTGTCTTCTTTTTTAAATAGAAAGGGAAGAATATTTTTATTCTACTAGTGCTTCCTTAATTCTATTATTAAAGGTCGTTGGTTTTCTATACCTTCAAGTCTTCTCTTCTAACACTCAGTCTTTACTCACCGAGAGAAATAATAAAATACCAACATAGAAAGCGAGAAAAGTATAAAAAGCTCGCGCGTTGTTCCATTGATTACGTCAGCAAACATCAGTGACGTATCAGATGAAAATAACTTTTTGACACATATTTTTTTTAAACACCTGAAATTTTATTCAAGTCTTCAACACAATGAAATATTTGTGATGCTATATTATGACACAATACATTGAATGTGTATTTATAACCTTTAGAGGATTGAAAAGAACATCGATAGTGATTTTAAAAATATTGCGTCACACAAAATTAAAAAAAAATAATCGTTTCATTTAAAAATGTTACGTACTTGTAACTGCTTAAATTTTGTTCGTGAAGTTTTAATTCTTTTTTATTGCTTTTGTATTATTGCAATAAATTTTAATACTTTAATTTTAATAAAATCAAATGTATGTTATGTATTTAAAATTATGTAGTCTCTTCCTGTTCTTTTTAAGCGTGAAGAGTAAAAAAATAAATTTTCTTCAACAATTGGAACGTTTCATAAAATAAAATGTGTTAATTTGTATGCGGAAGTAAAAATAGGAGGAAATAAATGTAAAGCGTCACACAAATAAAATGAAAATGTTGTCAATATTTCACCAATACACTATGGGGCAAATTTCAAAAAAGCGGTCATTAAGGAATTTTTGGAACTTTTTCGAATTATGATCTCAAAAGGATTTGCGCAACTTTTTTTTGAAGAACTGTATTTCAGTCAAAAATCATACAGTCGTGTAGCCCCTGATTTCTAGTTTTCAAAACTGTATAAACTTTAAAATTATGTTGGTATGGATTTGAGATTTTTGGATTTTAGTAAGTCGTGGAATATTTCGCCAAAATCGAAACTTTCTTATAAATCTTACAAATCATCAACTATTAATAATCTTTTTAACCTGTGAAGAATTTTTTTCAAAAAGTTCAAAATTTGATGAGATATAGCGTACTTTTGATATCTGACGACTTGTATGCTTTTAGCATCACTCAAACTGCTTGTTCTCTTACAAAACGAAATATTTTTTATTTCTGTTTTCAGTATATTGTAGCTTAATTTAGTACGTTTCTAAAATGTATAATACTTGATTGTTAACTTTGATCTTCGTCATGAAAATGAGCCTGGTTTGTGACCTACCCAAAACTAGAAAAAATCACAAAAACGTCATATATAGAAATACTACTTAGAAACAAATTTAAGTATTGATTTGTGGTTTTTTATAATGATTTATGATAATTATGAGTATTTAAACTCAAAAATTTGCATTTTATAAACATTATGAACATTATATTCTTATATAACACTATTAGAAACTGAAAACCATTGTTCAATATCTTTAACCAATGCAGATATATTTCAGTTCAAATATGACGTGAAAAAATCCGATTTTTCCTACATTTTCAACTTCAAACAGCCACAGAATTACAAATATAGCACCAAATGACTTGGAATTTAACAAATAAGTCAATTTTGATGTCTTCTACAAGAAAAAATCAACTTGAGATCGTAATTCAAAAAAGTTCCAAAAATTCCTTAATGACCGCTTTTTTTGAATTTTGCCCCATAGTACAATATAATAAATGAAAGAATGTATAATTTCTGTTAACAGTTTGATTGGGCTTATATATAATTTCTTACAACAACATGAGCTTCACAAATGTTGAAAACAATAAAAATAATATAAAGCTAAAAGTCAAAAGGATCTGTTTATTATACCTAAAGAGAAACTTTTATACTTTTCTTATTACTTTTCAGCGTTTATTGTTCATATGCTACATTCAGTTTAAAAGCTCACACAGCACATCTTGCTACAGTTTTTATAGAAATTCTACGCTTTAACTTCATCAAGATTTTCATAACATGAAATGATTTTCCGTCTTGAATGATGTTAAAATGATGGAGAATGATTACATACATATTTTTCTACATTCTTGAACGTATTTTTCTTACGTACATACAGTTCTTACTTTTATTTCCCATTTCTTCTTCATTTAAAAAGAAATAAACTTTTATTTGTTTTCACGTCATTTGTACTAACTGAATAATTCACACGTGAAAAAGTCTGGTAAATGAGAATATAAAGCAAAATGAAATAATTGTAAAACAAGAAAAGATGTGTGTCAATTAAGCAAAAAATTGCTACTAGTTCTCATGGTTAAAACTTAAAGGATATTTGAATTTCATGAATGAGAAAAGAATTAAAAGTTATTGATTGCATATAAATTATTCAAAAATATTCTTAAACTGCCTGGATGTGCTCCATTACTATAATCTTTTTAGATTCTGAAAATTTTGAATCAGCATTTCTGCTTGATTTAGGTAACATAATAAGACCACCGATTATTAAGTTATGATTACTAACCACTAAGCTGTGTACCTAATCAAATATTCTATCTACAGTGAATAATGATTACAAATCCCTTGTTGTCTAAAGTCTGTTGAGAATTTACCGCATGAAAAAAAATCCTTTCATAAATCATTTTCAAAAGAATTCCGCTTTGAAAACACTGCAGTATAAAAGGATGAATTCATCACTGAATGAAACTTTTATAATTTTTGCAAAACAACAAAATTTACTGCAATTTATTCACTCTTTTTTGAAAGTTAGTTTTTTTAATTGGATAAAAAGAATTTTTATTTGCATAAACTTCTTCATTTACTGAATTGAAAATCAAAAGTTTCTTGATGTTTTTCTTCTTGTTCAGTAGTAAAACAGTAAATATAAATCTTCTTTCAACCGCAATCATAGTATTTGGGGCAAATTTTTGCGAAATGATAAAGTTTATCAATTTATTATGTAATTTGAATACACAAATGAAAATATATGTTTTGAAACTAGCATTTGTACTTAAGGCAAAAAAGATGGAGACAATAGACTATAATTTTAAAATAAATCAATAATTAAGTTCATAATGACGATTCACAAGATGATAATTTGTCATGTTTAAAATATCTGTTTGTATTTACGAACAAGTCATGAAAGGCTTAATGTGGGACCTGTGTTTATCATTTTAAGAAAACTTTTATATCAAAGGATCTTGTCAGTAAGTTAAAGAGAATGTATAACTAGCAAATATTTAATGAAGGCTACGAAAAGGGCTTGAAATTGGCTTAATTACTGAAATATGGTAATGGGAAATTGTAAAGATAATCATCGACATTCCTTTTTCCTTAAAAGGGCAAGATGTCTTCTTATTTATGAACAATATAATGCTAATAAAACTTTATTCATAAATGTCTTAATTGTATGAGAAATCAAGAAGCCAGACAGAAATTAATCATAATTTCTCAGATAGTTTTCTTCACTTAGATTAATGATGTTTTGATGATTGCGTAACTTCCGCAAAACTTTCCAATTAAATTTTTAAAGTATATCTTTAGAGATCCTATTATTAAGGACATTGCTCTAAATGCATAAATCCACGTTTTTGACTCATTCGTTACTTTAACTCGAAAAAAACCCGAGTCTCCGAGCTCGGCTTAAACCTCCTTAATTTTGTAGATGTAAAAGGAAACATATTCAAGTAAAAATAATTCAGCAAAAAATATGTTTGTGATATGTATGATGAAAGTCGGAGGTACTTTACAACGAAAACATCTCTTATAAAAAGGAAGGAAGGAAAGATATTGACGACAAATATTTACATTTTGATCTTTGTTTCCTCATCTTTTTATTTTCTGTTATGCATGCTGCCTTATTTTTCGCAAATTGTGTCGTCTTAAATTTTTTTCCATTTTTTTTATATTCTCTGCATGTAAGTACATACTAGTATATACATTACGGAAAATCATATGGAAATGTGATTGTTATTATAATAAAAGCCAACATAATCAAAAGGAATATTTTATAAATGCGTGTATATTAAATGAGACTAACACTTACAATTTATTCCACGCGATTGTTTTGTGCGGCGAGGACTAAGCATGCTTTCCCGTCGATTAGTAGCCTCTTGTGCAGTCATGTGCTTCGGTAATGTCAATTCGTTCTCATTACCCCATACTATATCCACCATTGAATCGATGCTAGATGAGCGTGGTAATTTCTCTTGTCCCCTGAGTGAGAATCAAGTAATTAGTCGATTTAATGACATAGAAAAATGAGAAAAGTTTTTGAAAAGGAAGTGTAGAATCAATTAATGAAATCGTTCAGAAAATAAATTACAACATTATAACCTAATAGATGTTATTGACTCAAAAAATATTTCATTTTGCCACCATATTATGTCTAAATCTATTTATTTATCTGCAAATTAATCAAACTCTTCATGGACGTCACAAAGAAATCCTTTTTGAGTTATTCTCAAAGGGCAAACATTTTATCAATCTTAATTAATTTTAGCTTTCACATTTTTTTGTGACGTTCATGCACATGAAAGTCTATACATTGGTAACATCAGAATCAAGTAGAAAAATTTATTTAAGAATGTTGTCTATGACTTGTAATAAGATTTTATATATGTGAAAGCATGTGAACTTCCACAAATTTAATCGCATTTGTGTGTAAATATCATATTTATTTACCTTTTATCCCATGATGTTCTCCTTTCTTCGCCTAACACATTTGGTACTGGCTTGCTGTTGAGTAAACGTGTGAAACGATAAAATGTGCTATTTGTAGACGAGTTCTGAAGCTTTGGAGTCGCTTCACTACAATTTGCGATATGACTATAGGATGGAATTCTGTTTGCGTTCGCGTACAAAGTTATTTTCATAGCCGAAATAAAAAAAAATGAGAAAAAGATTTTTATTACACTTTGTGATGTTCATAAATTATAGTACACATGTGTAATCAAATAAAGTATACATCCACACACATATTCTAGATGTGCTATGACGTACCTGATTACTAAATTCGATGATTCAGCATGTCTATCGTTTTCCTGAAACTCATAAATATGTGGTTCGATTGCCGATGAATTGGAATGAACAGAACTTCCTGACGATTTTCGTCTTTGAAATTCTGATTGGGGAACATCTTCAATGGTAAGAGCAATTTTCGGAGTCTTTGGAAAAACTTTACATGGCGCAGGGAGATCTATTTGGGATCAAGAAGAATTTTGGGTTGAAAAACAAACTCTAGTTCCATAATAAAATATTGAAAAAAGAACAGATTGATGGATAATAGACAAAAGATACATTACCCTTATTGAATATTGGAATACATCCATCATTTTCTTGCTGACATAATAAATCTGGAAGTGTTTTTGATCTTGATAATGAAGGCGTACTTTTCCACTTAATATCATTGTTATTGCTTTCAATATTTTGAAGTAAAAGGCTGAATCGAGGAGCACATAAAAATACAAAATGGAATGTAATATTAACTACACATATGAAGATTTTTAAATCATTTAATGTCATTCTCAATGCCAAGAATGCTAAGTTTTATAACTTTTCTTTTTTATTCAATCACATTACTCAGAATTTTTTATATTTTACTATAAACATTGGTAGCGACATGCTTTTGAATACAAAATTTCGAATTGATAAAAATATGCTAAATGAAATCGATGTGAATCTCCTTATCATTTCTAGTTCCTTGAATTGAAAATCAATATAAATCTTTGAAGCGTTACTGTCTTTTACTTTTGCGAGTTCTATTAGAAATTTATGAGAGCAGAAATTTCCCAACACAGCGGTGCTTACTAAGGAGAGGAGGAATATTTTTCTTTCTTTCTTTTCCTTCTTTTATTATTTCATCTGCCTTTTTCCTTTCTTGCTTTTCTTTTATCAAAAATTCAAGAAAAAAAGTCGCAAAATTCTTTTTCTCTAAAGAGAAATTTGGTTCCTCTCTTCCTTATACAATATCGTAAATTGAATCATGAAAATTATTTTTTATGAGAATACGATAAGAAAGAAAAAAACTGAATGGAGAAGAAGAGATTTTAGGGTAGTAAATCAGTCGAATTTCTAGCGCATTTTATTCTCTACATTAAGATCTGGAATCAAGTCGTAAAATAATCTCATAAATATTCTGTTCACATACTCTCAAGGAAACTTTGACTGAAGGATGATATAAAAAGTGGCCGATTTCGAAATGTTATCAAATCCACTCGAACAGATAGTGATACTAATTTGACACTTAAAGAATTTTGAGTTCTGAGAAAAAACATTAATGAAAACTTCTTTTCAGGGGTGAAACTAGAAACTTTTTGAAGTGAGGATTATTTTTTTGTGAAAAAAACTGCCACGCGTTTGTGTCGGAATAAGCGATTCCTTGAAATTGCCAGTCATCGATAAATCATGTTAGTTCAAGGGATACAGAGAAGAGTCCCGAATGACACAAGTCGGTTAATAAATTTAAATCAAAGCCAGCACCATGCTAGAGTCATGCTAGAGGCACCGGATTTCTATTCGATTAACCGACTTGTGCTATTCGGGAGTGTATTTTATATATGAGATTTAGCTTTAAAGTAGTCTAATCCCTGATGGAGAAGCATGCGACTAGATTTTCGTTATTCGTTATTCGGAAATATTTATTAATAGTTATCGGAAATATTAATTTATTTTTCTGTTGTTTGTCATCTAAGTTTCGTAGCCTTTACTTCTAGATATTCCAATACTTTGCTTCTTACACATTAATAAGGAATCGGTTGGATATTATGGAACGCTTTAAGGTTTAGACGATTTTTAACAATTGAGAATTTCTCATTTTAAAAGCAGAGTGACAAAGTGATGAAGGAAATAAATTTTAGGTTGAAAACTTTGATACAAAAGAATTTTTTCATATATTTTTGTGAATTCATATTTCAAATCGAATGAATTGCTCTCACGATGTATAGATGAAAACTACAAAAATTTCATTTGTGCTTCAAGTGTATGCTAAAGGAAATATTGCTCAAAGCACAGAAAGATATAAAATTGTGATAAAGATGTATGCAAATTTCTAGTTGAGTGAATTTAGAAGCCTTTGTCTTTCTCTTCTTTAATGTTAAAAGTTTTTTGATATCAACTTTATTTAATAATACAACAGTACATCACGCTTTTTCATATTTTACTACAGTACGCGAGCGTTATTGTCTCTGTCATTTCAATTAGCCACTTGAATAGAGAAATGAAATTATTGAGGCGTGTAAAATTTGAAGGATATGATTAACTGGTAGCGACGTAATTTTGAAATTTGAATGAAATTTCCATGTTTAAATACAAAACTCTATTAAAATAACTTAAAATTATTTTAAGTAAATTTGAGTCTTCATTAATTTTGGAAATATAATCTAACACTAATTTAAATCGAATTTTAAATTTCTAGCTTTTCCATTTCATTTCAATTTTCATGAAATAAATATAAATTAAATGTACTCAGCACAAAATGAAATTATTTATCGCATTTTCTCATAATTATCACTTCGTTGTTAATTTACAGAACAAATACTATGGATATTAAGGATTTCTTGAAACCAGGGAGATTATCAAATCGTGCAGAAAATTTTATGAAATAACAAATTGAATTAAACCTAAATTATACTTTTTACGTGCATTCCATTAACGAAACATTACATTAAAATACTTTATACAGTTTTTCTCTATTATCTAAATTAGGAATCTCATTACTTTCTTTTTTTTCCATAGAAATGCAATTCAAATTGAGTGAAGAAAGCAAAAAATTCCTTTTTGCGACCTTCCTATTGCCGTGTATACGGTTTTTTTGCAGGAAAATCCTTAGAAATTAAACGAATAGTATTTTACTTACTTTCTTTCTTTTCGTTGCTGTCGTTTCTTCTTAAATGCCTTCTTGACACGCAATAACAGAAAAGCGGCACGATCAATCTTGAAATTGAGTATATTTCAGGGTATGAAAAGAGAATTAGAGAAGAAAAAAATATTATTCGAATTAAATAATATCAATAACAGGCTAAAATAAAAAGAATCCATTTATTCATACATCAATTTAATAAATGCCTTAAGAATCTCACTTTCTCTCTGTCTTCATATTTTTTGTCGCCGTAAAAATGAATAATACCACTAAATCTACTTTTTTTTTATCTTTGTAATGTCGATTATTAATGGGAAATTTGATATTGTAATAATACTGTGAGGAAAAATATATATAAATGTATATCCTAGTATACTCCATAAATATGTAGCTATGTGAACATAATATGAAAAGTGAAGTGATAGCATTTATTATTGTGTTTTAATCTGTAACCAAAAGGTGGGATGAGTTGAAGGAGAAAGGCAAATAAATTCATTTCTTATAAATGACAATACGATAGCAGTATGTAACCAATATTCTATTGTAAAACAGGTTTTATTCCTTTTAAAAATGTAATATTGATGAATATGGCTCTAATTCACTTTTTTGCTTTTTCATTTTATAATGTCAATATCAATTTATGGAATTACATTTCATGTTTTAAATAATATAATAAAATAATGATGATATTATGTTTTCGTTTGATATGCCAAATAACCAAGTAAAAGGTATCAAAAGCTTTATCCTTTTATCAAGTATACATCTAAACAAATTCAGACTTTATTTTGGAATCAAACTTTTATTATCATTGCTTTTGGCAGGTCTATTGCGTTCATGTTGCTACGTGATTTTTACTGTCAAAGTTTAAAGAAAAATAAAACTCAACCCTTACCAAAAACAAAATGTAACTTAATACTAAAGATCATAAAACTCATTGACTTTTTTTTTTTTATTTAAATAACAGAGAGAGTTTTAAACACATCAAAAAAAAAGAAGTTGTCAGTAAAAACTGTAGCTCAAACTATTTAATGATTCATTATTAGACTGTATTCAGTGACTGTTTATTTCATAGAATCAATTACTACTAAAATTGTTAATTTATTTTACAATATTTAAACGAAAACTAAGATCCAGAAGTTAAAATCGGTGAGTTTAAAATTATTTAATTCTTTTTTATTAAGAGTACATATTAGACTCCTATCCCACAACTGTTTATACCAGTCAATACTAAAAAAATGTATAAACCCTGTGTTTTGGTTATAAGCTAGGAGCTGAATAGAATAAAAAGTGATTTTTTTGATCACTAGTAGCTTAGTAACGAGGAGTAGCTTATTACGAAAAAAGCAGGGTAGACATTTTGTTATCTCCCTCATTTATGTTCCAAGAGTCTAATGGTTCATTTATTATGTACGAAAATAACGGTTTATGAACAATAGAAATTCTTTGAAAACCTAATGTTAAAATTTCCTTCACTACCCCCTTAAAAGTAATAAGTGAATTGACCAAAGGGATGCGAGAAAATTTCTTTAATTTATTTTTTCAAAAGCTTGGCATAAAAATTGTTATTATTTAATATAATCTAAAGTCGCCTAAACAATACCTCTAGTATATTGCAACTCTCTCTCGAACTATTGTTATCATTTTTGACTTGAATTCACTTAATAATAATGCTCAAATCAAGGACTTTATTTTGTAATTTGGAATCGTTGGTTGCACAAAATTCAATAATGATCTAATAGGGATATATTCCAGAACTAGCTGCCTGTGGGAATCGGATATCCACATCATTAATTTTTCAATTCAGTTTGTTAATGTAAAATGAAACATGAAAATTCTGCCATTGTTTCATTCTTTTAAAAATTGTAGATGGAAAAGCTTATCATATTACTTTTAGATTCCGAGATTGAAGGTTTATGACTCAATAAAATTCCAACTCATGCTCTTTAATATGTATTGATGCAAAGTAATTTAAGACATAGGAGATTTTATATTAATTATTTTCAATAAGTAGCTAGTCAGAACTATAGCGAGAATTTTTTGAATGGAAGCGTTAAAAACAAAAAGTTTTAATCAAAAAACTTTAAATTGTTCTTTTTTTTGTTTAAATAATCTTGTTAAATTTTTGGATAATACAGAATGAATAGTTTTCTTAACGACAAGCCCGTTTGTTAGTAATTATCGAGGAAAAGTCATAGAATTTAAAAATGATCAGTTTGTGGAATAAAATTAATCTTTATTTTTGTTAACCTTCCATTGAAAATGCAGCGTGGTATAATCTGCAAACCTTTTCATTTTCGCCAAATTTTCGCTTTATTATAATTACAGAGGTGATAATCAAAAAAGGTATATAAGAAGGAGTTTAATCAAGATAATTGATAACTCTGAAGCCACGTTTAACAAATTTATTTTTCGAAGAAATTTCGCCTTCTATGTATTAAGTTAATATAAACTTTTGTTGGCGTGTTGCTAAGCATGAAATTAAATAAACTTTGTATGGCTCAATGCGTAGAAGAAAAAAAAACTCCTTAGCTATAATAATTGATAATTGAAAGATAATACTCAACGACAGTATTAGATGACTTGTCAATATGATGTTAATTGATTGAAGAATGCATAATCAATAAACACGGTCCTTAGATGCTTAAATCAATTTTTCTAAAATTTATAAAAGGTTATTATGCTTTATGTCCTTGAAAACAGCACAAATATAAAAAATGACTTTGAAACATCCACATAATAAATTGTATGAAAAAAGAGACATAATTTTTTTAACAGACATAATGGATAAAAATGATCACGATGATTCACATTTCAACTTATAACAGCAACACATATAGAGCGTAATATTGCGTCAATGTATGAAATTTTCATGAGCATACAGATATTTCAGTTTGAATTATCGTCAAACTTTAACAGTTTCATGAATTACCCAGCTTTCTCTACTTATTTAATAGGTGAAGCTTAAATATGATGATTTATAAAATGACTGACTGTAAAAAGCAGAGATTTTTGGAGAAAAAATGATTTTATGCCAGCTTAAATTCTATTTTCTTTTTTTTTTTGTTAATGAGCATATTTGCGTATTCCTGTATCAAAGCTTAATGGAAAACTGAACCTTTATCAAGATTACATTATCAGATTTTTAATAATATTACAAAGTTTCCGTCCCTTCCTAATCATTTTTGAATTATGGCATGTCTTGTCATATGTCATGCGTATCCTTTAAAAATGACTTGCTGTCAGTTTATGTAACGAAAGAATAATTTCGTCAAATTTAATATGTTCCTCTTCATTTCCCCTTTCATATTTTGTAAATTTAAAAAAAAGTATCCACAAATGTCTTATAGAACAAGATGAACAGTCCAAAACTTCAATATACTGGTTAATTGAATTGTCAATCTTGGAACTGTCACAAACAATCAAAAAATAAATATTTTCAAATAATGTCAAAATCATACAGACATAATTTATTGCATCTTAAAATGATTTTTCCCTCAGAAACTGTCCAAAATTCATCTTTTTTTCATTCATTCAAATTAAGCGATATTTCACATCCAATCATAAACATGCGTGGCATTTATAAATGATGATTGAATTTTCATGGGAAATCATCGAGTGAAAAGTGGATATGAGTAAATGATAAATTATTAATGTGGGCAACTTACACTTAAAATTTTTTTCGAGTTTCCATCATCCATTGCTTCACGTAAAATGCTTCCACTTTCATCCGGATTTCTACGCAGGCAAGCTTTCAGGGCTGATGACACTTTATATAAGTTTGTATTGATGAGTAATCGTGAGAGTGCGATTAATTTCAAATTAAATTAAATTTATTTAATTTAAAGCTTTTCTATTCATTATAAATCCATAAAAAAATAATTTGGGAATTTTACAAACTGTTTCCACTGATATTAAAGCTAGTTATTGCCAGAATATATATTTCTATTTTTTTCTTCGTATAAAGCTTTTTAATTTATATTTAGTAATTTCATTACTTTATATATTTTTAGCACTAAAAACATTCTCATTTTATTAACAGAAAGCCTTCAATTTAGGTAATGTACATTTTAGGATGAAGCTTTCCATGTTAAGTAACTCTTTTTCATTCTTTAGCATTCCACGACTACGTTTTGTGTATTATAATATTCTCACAATTACATTCACAACAACAGAGCTATGGGGAGATACAAAAAAAAAATAATGCAAAAAATGAGTTGAGTAAAGTAAAAAATGAACATACACAACAATAGATGTTATTAAGTGTGTATTTAAAGGATGTTGACGGTGGGGTATTGTCTCGTGGATGTAAGTGTTTTCATATTGGATGTAAATAAATTCACAAACAAGGAATGGAAATGTTGAACACACATATATATATAAAATATGTAGCAACACATCACAAGTCTGATGGCACCTCTAGTTGACATTGACATTATATCATATAAAAAAGTAATATATTGAATGCTGCGTGCTTTATTTACAATGCATGTCTCTCTTGTTATTTATCGCAATGTTAAATATATATTTCCCATAAGTAGATGTAAAGATAAAAGAAGGATCTATGGCAGAATCAATTTCCAAAAAGCCACGAGTCAACAACGAAGAATCAATGCTCTTAAAGCTATGCAATCATTTTCTCACTCCAACTTCCTACAACAAACGTATACTTAGTGCCTTACTTGGCGACAGATATCTTTAGTTCTCTTTGAAATGAATTTTTAATCAAACGCCAAGAAAATAGAGTTAATGAATAAATTTTCCAATACTTTATTCACGTAATTGTTTCTTATTGTTAAAAACACATAAGGATATGTATATGTGCTTCGTTTTTTGAGTGAATTTCCATTAACTTCGTTCCCCTTTGAACTGATAAGTTTCTCCATTTTAGTGATTCGGAAATCGAATAATTACGTGCTGCCATTATAGTTACATTGACTCTTTATCAGCATTTACTGTGATGTTTCGAAACCCCAAAGCTATTAACTTAGTTTTTTTGTAAGGTGATTGATATTCTCACAACATAAAATCCCGAGCGACACGGCTGTGCACGGATCTAAAATCACTTTTCATTTTAATTGCACTTTATTGCATTTATTGACGACATACTGTCCGGAAATAATTCACATTTTACACTTTTGTATTTGTATACATATGAATTAGTATTATGTAGGATCAAACTTCTAATCTTCATATCTAGGTTTCAAATAAACTAAGGCTCTCGTTTCGATCTTCTGTAGGCGTTACGTGATACTTTTCAGGTCCGTTCTATCAATATTCCATTCGTGGGTAATCTTGTAGCTCTCGTTCCTATTTCTCCCGCTACACTTCAAGTTCCTGACCCGTTCCTTAATCCAACGTTGTCCAAATGCCCAATTATGGCTTGATCTCGTACATTAAGCAGTCGAAGTATCTAAACTTCCGAAAAAGAACAAATTTGGAAATGGCTGGATTCGAACCGACGACCTTCGAGTTACCATCCCAAATTTGAGCCAAGCGCCTTACCTATTCGACCAGCAAGGCACTTAACTGCTGTAAAAAAAACTTAAAATATGGAAGCTGTGTAGAGGCTCTACCGAGTGGCTTCCATTAAATGTTAACAAAAGAATTAAAGAAGAGCTTGACACGGAACCGCTTTTGAGCTTTTGTCATTTGTGTCGCTCGGAAAAGAAAACTATCGATTCCCTTATGATATTAAGTTCGTGAAAAATGTACATTTTTTTAAAAAAAATCTTCACACAAAATTAGCAGGCATTTTTAAAATAGATGCATGCACATTTTAAGAAAGACACAAAGTCATTCCCTTTTTAACAAATGCCTTAAAGAGATTGAAACAGACCAACTGGTTCGCATGAAAAGATGTTTTATCAGACTTGGAAACAAATTATGGCGTTTGAATTTAGTGTCAAATTAGAAAGGTAGACGACGTAAGCTATTATCTTTTCTAAGGTTTAGTCACGCCAGCAAAAAATAATAACATCTTTAGAAAGCCACAGGCTATGTCATATTGAATTGGATCTTTTTTGTCTCGTTCATAGCACATCTTTAATACACGATTGTATTCATGTACGTCGTATTGATTCTATTGATAAAAAGAAGCAAACCATACAAATTTATGGTCATGTACACATGAGATTCTGGAAAAATTCGAGGATATTCATCAGTAACTTGCTCTTTTGCTTCTTTTACATTATTAATGAGTTTCAGGTAGGAACGTCAATTAGTTTCTTAGAATATTTATCTTAATTAAGTATTAATCTTAATAAGAATTCCTCCAGCATACAAATTTATTTGAATAACACTGTAACAAAGTAAAGCCTTAGCAAGCAAAACTTATTGAGCTGTTGTATCATTCGTCTTATGAAACTTTTTGATATAGGAAATGTCTCTGGAGTAAATTATGAGAATTGGAGCCCAATTGCAATACCAAAAAAAAACTTTCTCATTCACCGCTTCCAATTTACAATAGTGAAGCCGAAACGAAACTTTCCTTTTTATTTCCATTCACATCCAATTCTTCTTTTTGACTTACTTTATGTTTTCTCTCCTTTCTTACAAAGTCTCTAATGGCTAATCAAATATCTTACTGGTAGCTTCTTTTTATATATTTTTTTATTTATCGGTATGTGAAAACATATAAATACTCAGCATGAAATAGATATTGTTATGTCTATATATAAGAGTTTTACTCTGTTGATATAAAAAAGAGTCGAAATTACTATTCGAAAAGAAAAACAAGGAGGAATAAGATCCTCTGAAGTATGTGGAAATGTATTGGATTCCACTTAAAGCTAATCGTTTAGAAAACATTAAGGGGGTTAAATTGATAAGTTAATAGGTTATATTCATCATGTTATGTGATATGAATGAACATTTTTACACGACAAAACAGTCTTCACTCTAGCCGAAATGAAATTGCTTTATTTTCTAAAAATACTTGAAGATATAAATAATGAATAAATTTCCTGTGAAGTGCAATGCCGATAATCCATCAATGTCTCCTATCCTTTAATCCTTTAAAACATAACAGAAGTGAATTTCAAACTTAAGACAGCTTGTTAACAATTGAAAACTGTTTCTAGTTCACTGAATAGTATACAACTTTTAATAACTAAGACAGCAAATGGTGCATCATTCAGTTCGTGCTTTAAATTATTTTATTATGAAACAAAAGAAATTTTCTTGCCAAATTAATCATAACAATCTGTTTCAATGGCTCTAGCCAAAAGTATTATGAACAACCTTTATTATCTTATTCCGAAGCTGATTAAAAATTTAGATGTCATTTCAGATGAACTTTCAATTGCTTTTTAGGGATCATTCAGTATACACGTCTTGCTTTTTTGATGTGTTCAGTTTATTGAAAAACTCACGTGGTTGTGTAATCTTGTAATCTTTGCGAACATTGTGTGAAGCCTTGTCATTTCGGTAACACTCTTTTTGAAATGATTTAGGTATCCGTCTCTGGTGGGAATCGAACCCACGTTCTGACAAAAGGGAAGATTACAGGTTTTTGATCAGCTGCTTAACTATAAGCCTCGCACATGCCTTACACTGGTGAATTGATATCACCATATACAATTTTAGACATTCTAAATGAACGACAGTTTAGCTTTAAGTGGAAAGTATTTTTTTTCTTGAAAAAATTCATGAGAAATGGAAGGTAGGAATGATATCTCGTATTTATATTATTCATAACTTTTTATCCAAAATAATTTTCCACAAACCATTCTTGGATAGACTTATTGATTTAGTTCAACTGAAATATTAAATGGCACGTGTTCAGACATCTAGTAACACACACTGGCATTTGAAGCGGCTTGAGTATAATCGATCTGTCAAGTACCTCTTTAATGTTCCTAACATATCACAACTAATTTATAGAAGCAAAACCTTTTTCGCTACTCTGGCTGTTTGTAATGCTACACTTTTATTTTATTTGGCTAAGAAATTAAATATTTGTCTTGCCATGTTGTCTTTCCTGTAATGTAATCGGTTTTTTTTTTATTTCTGGTTACGGAATTGAATTGGCACGTATTCCAAATTTGAAAATTCATTAAATGTCTGTCTGCTGTTTCCATATTAAAGCTCTCTTGACAATAAGCTGCATATTTTATGGAAAAAGTTGCTAATTTGCAATGGAGATAGACAGTTTATTTATATTTTGGAACTTTTTAGAATATCTATGACTATATTAATGTCAAAAGTTTTCCAATATGTTTTTTTTTATTAATTTTGCTCGTAGAATTTGAACTTTTTATAGATGGCACCAAAGTAAAAATACTTATATAAAGGGACGTAATGCCTGACCTTTCATTGCAGGCTATTAATTATGATAGAATATCAATGGTCTTTGCTTTAAGTTGACGATAAACGAATTGTAATTAGATATTAAACAAAATTCAATATGATTTCATGTAAAATGAGCAATTGATCAATTTTATTAGACTCTTTATATTATATTTCCACTCCTAAACAAGATGCTCATTTTTTTGTGTAAATGAATATTTTATTTAATTTTGCACCGTTGCTAACTTCTTATTTAATTGTCCGAATGCTTGGGACTATTTAAATTTACTTGAGCATTTAACCAATTTTATTTCAAAAAAAAAATTAGGCATGTCACCCCATATTTGATTCAATTTAATTTCTCTGCAAAGTCTGCAAACTTCTGTAAACCCTTGGTGACGACATCCATCCCTCAAATTATAAATACAAAAATCTAATAAACTTTTCTCCTATTTCAATTTTTGTTATGTCCCATTCCATGTCAATTTATTACGAAAATTCAATTGAAACATCCCAAACAAGTCATATTCCTTCAAACTTTTTGAAATGCGTAACCTTTCAAATTTTAATTTCCATATCTTGATTAAAATTTTGAGAAATGATTTAATGTTGAGTCTATTTCGATTAAATATCATCGATTCAATTGATTTTTCAATTCATTCGTATTGACTTTTACGCTCAATGGTTTCACTTCTGTTAATGCTTAACATACAATATTTAAAACATATATGCACACTTATGCAAACTGCTGAGTTTCATTCATTAAAATTTTTATGAACGCTTCATAATGTTTTCCTCCTAACTTCTGACTTCTCCTTTTTACAGCAATATCCTCCAATTTATATATTCTAAATCGTTTTTTTATGATTCCGATTGTTATTTCTCCTTCTTTTTTGAAAGACGTTTATGATTTCTTGCTTTGCTAAGTCAGTATAATATTGATTTTCATAAAGAATGTGTACCTATCCTTCATACGCTTTAGTGATGTAGATTTGAAGAAAATTTACTTGAAAGATGGGATTACATGATCTCATTTAAATCTATACCCTTGAACTCAATCAAAAGATAATGATGCTTAGTTTATTTCTTGTAAAGTCTGAATAATTTAATTTTTTTTTATTCTTTTTTCAAGCTTTTCCGATTGAATGTACATTAATTTTTTTTTTTTTGGTTGATTGAGTACGTTTTAGAAAAAGGTTTTGATCAACTTTTACATCTGACTAGTTGTTAAACATTTAAAACATTACTTTTAGAATTTTTGAAAACTTTTAAGGCTTGGAATTTAGTGAGGCGCTTGAGAACGATTTTTTCAACGATCTTAATTTAGGCACGTTTATTAAAATGGATTTTTACAAGAATTTTATTTCCATCAGTTGTTAATTGAACGGTAAATTTAAGTGCAGATATATCCATTTTCCAAAATAAAAATTCCAATTCTCTGTACACCATAAACCACTTTGCTCCATAACTTTAAATTCACTTTGGCATGAGAAAATATTTCACTAATTTCCTGCTTGAATGCATTTAAAATTTTCTGAATGGATGTGGATGTAAAAATGATGATGACAAAATTTAAGATGATTTTAAAAGGAATAAAAAAGCAATTTAATGAAAAGGATAAACGGGTCCCACATAAAACGTTTAGAATAAATGCCATCAGATTTGCATTGTGTGTATCTCAATTAAAGACAAAAAAGAAAAATAAGGAGTTTGCTGGTAGACATGTAATGAATCTTATCCAATTTATGTTAACGGATGAGTATAAGATCCAAAGCTGGTTTTTTAATAGGTTTATTGGTTTAAAGTTGGATACAATCCATTTTTTGACAAAGGAGAGGATTTTCATACAGTATGAATATGATGATGTAAATACATTAAGTACACAACACTATTAGCTAGGATCACTAGTTATTTTAATTACTTTTTTTTTAAAATCTGTTAATGGACTACGTTTTCACTATTTTTCATTATCCACATGAGATTAATACGAACTTTTGGAGCTTCTATATAATTTTATAACTTTCACTATTAATTTTTTTTAATACTCGTTGTTGTTGTTCTGAACTGCCACTGATTTATGAATGATGAAGGGAGAAAAAGAAAATCACCGCTCAAATTCACCAACGATTTTTTAAGGCTTCTAATTCCAACGAGTTTCAAACGTGAACTGAGGATATCTCCTATATTTTCATTTCATCAATGTAAGAGTCCTTTTTAGAATTTTTATGTCAAGTGGAGCTTTTAACACTCTCTCAAGCTCTTTTTATTTCTCTTAAACATTTTTATAGGATCTTTTAATTTTACAAGGTGACCAAGAACATTTCTTTGAAAGATAGCAATTTAATCCTATAAAAATCAGCTGTTCGCTCTCATTTCTATAATATCTCTCATTTGCTATAAAAATAAGTAAGGAAGTAATGATTTGCATTGTCAACACTTGACTCGTTTTTAAAGCAGCATGTATTAAACATAAGTAGTATAATGGTGACTGGAGATTAGTATGAACAGAACAATGAGATTTACGTTTGAAATATTTCAGTGTAATTCCTATATTACACATAATTTATTTAGAAAACCAGCAATAAAGACAGACGAAATAAGACAAAAAATTTACAATAAGTATAAATATATATATAACTTTTTTTTGGAAAATAAAAATTCTATAACTTATAAGGAAATAATATCCTTCATTGACTAATCGATCACACGAATAATTTAAATGTTAAGATATCCAATAAACATTGAAAATGTTTTCTCATTTTTTTCCCTCACGTTCATCAAAAATATATGTGTAAGCAACGGTAGTTTAAAATTACTAAGTTCTGCAACTATGATATTAAATAATCCAAAGCTTGATCCTTATTATTATCAAATTTAATAAGCGCTTCCGACACCTTTTCCTCGTCAAATCCCATTTGTAGGATCTCATTAAGTGAAATTAGATGCTCAACTGCATGTTTATCATTATCACCTAAGCGAATTAATGCACGAATAACCAAGTCTTGTTTAAAGCCCATTTGACAAATTTGTTTTGCTAAATTTTGACTTTTAGCCGGTAAGTTATTTAATTCATCGTCTGGATTCGTTTTCATAATGATTTCTAAAAGATATAATTTTAAATGTTATAAATCAAATCAGTAATAAGAGATTAAAACTCACTATCATTCTCGATGGGAACGCTGCCTTGAGTACTTTGACTAATGTTTCTAGTTCTTCTTCTCTCGGAATTATTTAGCTCATCATTCAACTCTTTAACAATGTCAGGGACACTTTTAGACTTGATTTCATTATCACTAATATTATTTTCACAAGCCATAATGTTATTGTTCAGTGCATAATTCATGTGATTAACTGCATAATTTTGAGTGTAGTAACAATTATTTGGTTGTTGGTTACTATAAAACGGCTGATTAGTATTTATCGTCGTCGACTGCATTCCATAATAATTATTAAACAAGTATTGATGATTAAAGTTATGTGCTCCATATGCATTAGTCTGAGTTGCTGCTATAAGTTGCATATCATTTTTGGGAATTAGTGCTTTTGAGGCATCACTAATGTTAGTACTTCGAATATCATTCTCATTATTATTGTTGTTAATACTCTTTTGATGGTCGCTTGGATCAGATTCACTTGAATTATTTCTTTCTAATGCATTATCATCAGACTCTTGATTTCCGTCCACAACAGTCGACTTTAGCACTTTGGCAAGTTCCTCCATTTCATTCATTGATTTCATTTCTAAATTATCAAATGGACTTGAATCGGACTCAAAAAATGAAAAATCAATTTTATTACTCGAATTACTAGCATATCTACGATGCGACTTCTTATCAATAGGTTGATTTATAACAACAGCTTGTGTTGGCATAAGAATTGTATTGAAATTTGGACTAAAAACTTTATCAGAAGGAATGCATGCTTGATTATTAATATAACTACTCTTTATTCTAGCCTCATTGGAATCGTCTTTTTCCTCTTCATCTTCTTCGTCACACGACGAAGTTAGCTCGTCACTTGGATATGATACTTGATTTAATTTTGCCTTTTGTTCTTCCTCTAATCTTTTCTGACGCATTAATTCGCGCTGTTGAATTCTTTGTTGTCTTTCTGTCTTTTGTTTTAATCTCCAATTGATCCATTCTGTAGTTTTACTTATGATCTTACGCTCTAAATCAAAATTATAGTCTAAAAAGGCGGTCTCAGCTGGATCTTTTTTCTTTGAAAGCTGTTGTGTTAATCTAGTCGTTAATTTAATTTCTGGTGGCTGCTTATATTTCTCAGAAATCTTAACTGGAACTCCATCAGTGTAATTAACTGGTGAATTGTGAGGCATAATTTTGGAAATATCCTCAAAACAAACTGCGTAATTTGTTATTGTATTATTCAATACAGTCACTGTAAATATATTTAATTTAATTATTGTTTTACTTTCTAATCTTAATACTAATACATTTCTTTAATGCTCAACTTATGACTCACCATGCTATCTACTCAAAATCTCGATCTGAACATTTTAAACCAGACGAAAGGCTAGTTTTTGATGAATAATATTAAATTCAAGGAAAAAAAAATTGACTGACGTAGAAAACCACAAACTTCCACGTCTGAAATAGATTGAATCATTTTCGAATTCACCTGGTAGTTTATACAATCTATGTCAATTATAAACCATTGAATTTCTTAAATGAACAGCATTTGCAGTTTCCTGTATATTTGAAAATACTTCCTTCCAATGAGTGCGGATGAGAACTAATTTTCGATTTCGAAGGATCTAATTTTCGAGCGCGGGAAAAAAAATTTGAATTTGAAAATTCCGTTACAATTATTTGTTTACATTTTGCATTTAAATTACTTCTTGAAAAAAGAATCTTCATGGGAACTTTCAGTAGAAGTTCAATGTTTTTTAATGTGTCTTTAATCAACAATTTATTGATACAGTAATTGCCCAAGTTGAAGTAGTTTTTGAACATTGTGAAGAAACGATTGATAAACTATTAAAAGCTTTTGTTAAATTTAGAGCAAAATTTCAGTATCCGTGTTGATTAATACATAAAAGAAACAATTTTGCATCAAAAAACAATTGAAATAAATTTGTTTCTTAATTAAGTCGTTAACGTATTTTTATTTTTCAAAATTTCATATTTTCGAATTTTTTCGAATTTTTTTTGAATTTTTCGAAATTAACCAAAATTAACTGAAAATTTCTTTGTTCGCACTCATTGGACTTCCTTTTTATCATGAATTAATATTACTATGGCAAGAAGTGTTGACAATAAGTATTTTATGACCATTTTATGGCATTTCGAAATAAAATGACGCACGTCTGTTTTACATGGATCATCCTTCGAAGTTAAGACACATTTTCCTGGTAAACTTAAAATAATTAAATAAAATGTCTAAACTAAGGATAACCGTACTGGAAAGAAAGGTATGTAAATAAGCTCTATTTGGCTGTTCGGTAGATAGTCTAATCAGATTATTATATGCAGTAAAAGTTAAGTTTACTTTACTGACAACACTTTTTTTTCTCAATTTAAACAACTGTAATCTGTTTATTAAAGCCTTAATATTTAACAATTTTTACCCCATGGACCCCTTACCCCGGGGCAATAAAAGCTTTTTTAAAAAATAAATTTTTAAAGTTATGTTTTAATTTATCAGTCAAATTGGGAGGTTCGTGGGAACCGAGGTTCTCGGGTGGGGACCACAACTTAAAAGCTCTTTCGGGGGGTCAAAAGCTTTCAAAAAAGCTTGTTTCTATAATAGTGTTACGAAGAAAATCCTTATACCCAGCGACAATGAGCTTTTACTATCAACTACTCAAAATGAGCTTTTTGAAAGCTTTTGACCCCCCAAAAGAGCTTTAATGTTGTGGTCCCCACCCGAGAACCCCCGGTTCCCACGAAGCTCCCCCAATAGGACTGATTAAATAAAAAATAACTTTAACAATTTATTTCTTAAAAAAAGCTTTTATTGCCCCGGGGTAAGGGTTCCGTGGGGTAAAAATTGTTAAATATTAAGGCTTTAATAAACAGATTACAGTTGTTTAAATTGAGAAAAAAAAGTGTAGCCAGTAAAGTTAACTGCAGTTAAGAATATTCTATGTTTTAGGGAAGAGCTGTAATTGCAAATAAATTTATTAAGGAAGGCGAACTTATACTAACAGAGTCACCACTTATTTCAGCACAATTTACATGGAATAAAGAATATGGATATTTATGCTGCGATCACTGCTTTTTACCGTTAGAAAGTGCTCAAGAGAATGTTCGGAGATTAGCGATGGATGTCAGTATCGTCTTACCAAAACAAGTAAATGAACTAGCAGACCAGATTGATCAATGTAATAATTGTCAAGCTAAATATTGTTCCCCAAAATGTGCCAGTAGTGCTGCTGCTTCTTACCATAATTTTGAATGTAATCAGTATAAATTTGGAGGAAGATTTTATGAGATCCATGAGCTGTGGAAAAAGAGTCATTATCCACCGGAAACAGCAACTATTGATCTCGTAATAAGAATTTTTGGCATGATTAAACAATCAAATTCTGCGGAAGTTATTGAGTTATTAGATAACTTTAGTAAGCATTCATGCAATGAAGATCTTCAACTTTGTCATAAAATGCTTGGAGAGAAATTTAGCATCCAATTGTCACAGATTCATAAAGAAGTACAAAGAATCTTCGGAAATGATGATCAGCTTGCAAAATATATCTCATATGATGGATTTGTATCACTGCTTGCAATTCTCGGCACAAACGCTCAAGGGATTGGGACGTCAAGTTTTGCTCATTGGGTTCAAAGTATCTCTGAAATGGATATGAGTGAAGAAAAGCGAACTGAAATTGATACATTTATTGATGCAATTTATTCACGATTTAATGACACAGTTGGTGAATTTTTGGATAATGAAGGAAGTGGCTTGTATGTCCAACAATCCAAGTTCAATCATTCGTGTCAACCAAACGCTCAAATCATATTCCCGAATAGTAATTCAACCTTAAACGTTGTTGCCTTACAAGATATTCATCCAGAAGAAGAAATTTGTATAAGCTACATAGATGAGTGTATGCTGTCTAGAAGTCGTCATTCTCGACAAAAATATCTCAAAGAAAATTATTTGTTCCGATGTGAATGCGAAAAATGCGGAAGTCAAATTGAAGATTTGGACGTAACAAGTGAGGAGGATGAAACTGAAATGGATACAGACGAAGACAACTAAAGTTATTTTCTACTGATTAACTCTTTATTTCATCACATGTCTATAACTTTTTTTTGCATCAAACTTTCTCTTAAACATTAGTTTTGTCTACAAACTATTTGCAGAAGTTACAAAATAAAAACTCTAAATTCGATTAAGCATAGTCATTTTTTTGTTACTAAAAAAATATAATTTACAGTCGTTCAATTTACTTTGAACCAGGCTGTGAAGAGTTATTACCATAAAACTGAGATTTTCCTTGACTACTACTTGTTAAATTTGGAAATAATTGATTATTGTTGACAACTTTTGGCATTCTTTGTATCGATTGATGCTGTGATGAGTTATAGTTTTGTTGATTGTTGTGTCCTCGATTATATGTCGTTGAATTGTACGATAAAGATGGCGAAATATCCCACTAAAAAATATTAATTTGTTTAGTCTTTAACACGCTTATATAAACCAGATTAACTTACACTGTTATAAGATTTGCTATGTGACTCGTTCATGCTTGAAAACTTCATTACAGGTGCCTGAAAAGAATGATGAAAAGTTGTTAAAATTGACTGCGATTTATTATTCTCAGTTATTAATTTCAAAAAAAAACATTTGTGCAGTTGTGGTTCAAGAGACTTGACGATTTTAAATTCTTGAACAGCACATCACCTAAACTTGATATTTTTATTAAATTTTTGGCAATATGCTGTTTGAAAAATTAAATTGCTGAAACAGTTTTTTTTTTAAATCAAAAAAAATATTTTTTACTTTTAATTCATTTAGCATTAAGAACCACACCTAAAAGCACATAGAAATGAGTATGTTTAAATGACTTGTTACCTAAAAAAATCCTATCCGAAGGAGTATCAAGAGAGAAGTAAATGACAAAGTTTTGATTAAGCAGCAAAAATTTAGACGCATTCCAACATGAATCAACAAAACAAAACTGTACTTTCAGGGAAATCACATCATACAAGTTCTGAGAACTATGGGAGATTATAATGGTTAAGCTACTGACATAAATAAAACCACAGATATTTTTTAATGTATAATTGTTGTATTATTCCTTCATTTTTCAAAAAATGTGTATCCATCATCATTTATAATAAATTTTTTTTTCTTCAGTATCATCATACTTCTTTTCAATCTGTTCCAGATGATTCCATATTTTATTAATTTAATTATTTATGTACTATTTATGCAAAAATTGATTTTTATTCTTCTTTCTTCATCATTATAAATGAGAAAAAAGAAGCTTTTCGGGGTAGAGAATGTTTTATAATATAAATTTTATGCCTTTTTTTTTAGTTGATAATTGCCACAAAATTGAAATTAATATTTCGCGTCATCAAAAACTTATTCCACAATAAGCACAATCTTTTTGAATGACTCGAAAAAGTAATTTCCTTTTTGTATCATTTGAATTTCTATTTTTAGAGGCTGCGAACCTTCTTGTCAAAAATTCTATGGTTAAAATAGTTGAAAATAAAGTTTAAAAACTGCTCGTTTTGATCAAATTTCAAAATTACATCAAGGAATAGCTATTTTAAATATTATTTTCAGCTAATTTAACACCTTGCAAAAATTACACAAAAAAATTATTATTTTTTTAATTCGATTGTGGATCTTTGTGCATCAATGAGTTACAATTCATACAATATTAAAATTCCATAATACATGATTTATGTCCATCACATTATTCTATAGCTCAGTACCTATTCATCGATACACAAGTTCCATTCATTAGTTATTACATTATTAAGTTATTTATTTTTATAATTTATGTTTTTCCACTTTTTCCATTAATGAACTATATAAATTGATTAAATATGCTTCGCCTTCGGTTATTCCTCATTCTTTTTTTTTATCCTTAAAATTAAGCATCTTCATTCCTTTTGAGATTTTTATTATGTTTACAAATAACGTGCAACTCAATTTGTTATTTGTAGTTTCATGAAATTCCTGTCATTTTTATCAAGCTTGAGCCGACGACACATCACAAAGAAATTTATCTTATTTTATTTATTCCAAAAAGTTTCATTTTAATGTCCAGCTATAAACTTAATTCAGAAATACTAGCATCAAAAATTTGATGATACTTGGATTAAAGAACAAAGCTCACGCTTGAGTTTTATGTACGCATTTAGCTGATAATTTTTTTCATTAATTTAGAAATAGTTTCTTTTAAATACAACGAGAAATCTAATTTTTAATTCTTGTGAATTCTTCATTACCAAATTCGTATAGGTTTTAATAAATTTGCAAAATTCATGGATAATAAAGCTGATTTCAGTAAAGTTGATCGACTTCCTATTAATCCTTGTAAACAGATTTTACTGTCATAAATTACTAATGTTAATTGTATTTTAATAAGTTTTAGCTCAATCAATCCTTTTTATGGGTTTGTTACTTTAGTAAAATCAGCCCTTAGTTTTTGCATCATTTCGGTGAATTCATCCCCATTTCTCATTCATTTATATTATTTTTACGCATAAATTTAAATTTCATTCAAGCTAGTTTAATAAAATTCACATCCGAAATCTTTTGATCGAATTCATCAAAATTCGTCAAAAACTGAATTAGATTAAATTAGCTTGAATGACTTTAAAGTATTTAAATAGGTAGTTTACTTAAAAATTTGATGGTTCCACTTTATATATGAAGGCTTAAGATAAAAGGAAACAAAAAATTCCTAACATTACTCATTGTTTCGAGAGAGGATGACATAAATTTCATCGTTCGTAAGTTTTCTATAAATTGGACATTGATTTTATTTTTTCATAATAAATTTCTATAATCATTACTCCCTTTTAAGATGTGATTCAAATCACATCATCGACAGCTCTTCTCATTCTTTTTTTTTCACATTTATTTTCAAAGTCAAAACGAAAAGTCTAGACTGTTTTTATTTCCATCCTAAATTATTAAGAGATAATTTTATCCCTCATTCCATTCACCTAAGACTGTTGACATACATATATAAAGAAGGATTGAATAAATATCAAGTCTTTGTTAATCTTATATAGTTTTTTCTTTCTTTATGTTATTAGCAATCATATTTGCAACTGTTTTTATTTAATTTTAAGAATTTTTTTTTCATTTTTATTCTCGTCATCTTACTCTTGCGAAAAATTCTTGCTCAGAAAATCGAATGAAAATTTAACGAAGGTGTACGAAATTTTAAGTTTTTTTTTTCCCAAACTACCTCACACAAATCGAGACTTCATTCTGCATGTCACACCATTACAACATTATACATAAAAGATGTGACTTCACCGTTACAGTCAAAATTGTTCTTTTTGATGTTGCGTGACATTTTAAAACTAAAAAAGTGTCACTTCTTTTGACAGAAAGCTTATTTTTTTAAAAAGCTTAAAAATTTTCAGTCAGAATAAGCACCCTTTAAGTTTTCATTCGATTTTCAGGCAACTTCTCGCGAGATTTTTTTTTTGCATATTGAAGTGAATGTAAGTGTGTATGTGTTGTTATTAATAATTTTAATTTACTTCATTATTATTCATAATAAATGTAAGTGGGCAAAAATCATCATTAATTCATCAATCCATGCGTTCGCCCTTTTTAGAGAAGAACATTTAATTTTCATCTATCTGTATTTTTTTTAACTTCAAATAAGGAAAATTTGTAACCAAGACTGTATTTTTTTTTGCATAAAGAGATTATTATTATTTAAATATTTTAAGTTATTCCACTTTTTTTTTTTCATTTAAAATTGTTTTATGAACTATGTATTATTTATATATTCAATTAAGAAAAGAAAGAAGAAAAAATAAAAATAAGAATATAGAAAACGAAACAAACAAAGAAAGAAAGAACAGCATATGTGTGTTTTTTTGTTGTGATTGGTAGTACTAAGAGTGAGTGACTAATAATAAATGATGAAGCAATATTTATGTGTGTAATGTTTATATGTTTATGTTTATGTGTGTATATGTGTGTGGTTGTAAGGATGAAGGTCATCCGAATATCGCGATTAAGCTTTTTACTTATCATCATCAAATATTATTCATTTTGAAAGATTTTGAATTAATTAAATTCACACATTATTCTTAAAAAAGTTTGTCGAACTCACAGGATCTTGGAGCTGAGATTGGTGCTGCTGTTGTTGTTGCTTCATATATCCACTCGTGTTGGAATTTGAGCCACTATTAGCACTTCCACTGTTTGAACTGCCTGCAGCTACAACTGGACCGCTACGATATTGTTGATTAATGACCAAATTGTTAAGCATTTGAGAGTTTAAAGGAAATTGACCGACAGATCCATAATTCATTTGTTGTTGGGGTGGAGCACTTGTCGTGCCACCAAACATTCCATAATTTCCAGTTGCTGCAGATCCTGTTGTATTGTAATAAGGATTAGCTTGTTGTGCTGTTGAACTTGGATAATAACTGTTTTGATGATATAAATGATTCATATATTGTTGCTGATTATATTGACCAGCTGTTGCTGTAGGAGCATTTTGAGGAGCTGAGCTTTTTGAACCAATCGCGCCAATTTGTTGTGGGGTATTAGATTTTGTATTCATCATTGAATTTGATGGCGTTGCGGATGAAATAAGAACGGCTGCAGCATTTGGATTATTTAATTGTGGTGTCTGATTATATGGTTGAACAGTTGCTCTATATTGTGACAAATTTTGATACATTTCATGGGTGGGTGCAGATGCAATATTCGGCGTTTGCATGAATGCATTAAAGGATAATGAATTATTTGTCGCACTTTGTGGATAGCTATACATTTGAGCTCGAGCAGCATCCATATTGTATGGATTATAAAGTCCACCAGCAGTAGCTTGTGCTGAATTGTATACAACAGGTGGTGACGGAATAGTTGGCATATTTGCATAACTTGGCGTTTGATAAAATTGTTGTTGGTGTTGCTGTAAAGGATTTTGTTGCATTTGTGGTGGAGGCGAAAGACCCGATTGATGCATTTGCGTTGGTTTGACTTTACAAACATTAGCATTTTGTGTTGCAAAAGCTTCCGCTGCCTTCATATTCATATTCTGTTGATTTTGTGAATGCATGACATGAGCACTCATATGTTGCGATTGATAGCTATTGGAGTCGTCATTATCATTAGCTTTATTAAAATGTTCTAAAGAACTAGCATGATCATTTGCAGAACTTGATGATGCATAGCTAAATGATTGTGGTGAAAGCCCAGTATGATGAGCGTTAATATTATTATGAGCAGCATAATGTTGTAATTGTTGCTGTGCCACAAAATTTGCCATTACATCATCTGCGTTTGTGGTGTTATGTTCGACACTAGGTTCCTCCCAAACTTTCTTACACGATGCAACTTTCATATTTAATGCATCAGTGTTTAAAATGTTGCTATTTTGCATGCCAGTCTTTGCACCAACGAGTCCCAAAGAAGATGCTTTTGAAACAGCTTGTGACGTATGAGTACTTGAGCTTGAGACAGAACCAAATCCTCCAGTATTTCCATCATCAGTTAATTGTGTGTCAAAAGAGAATTTAAATGAATTCATATCAACTATATCAGATTTTTGTCCAAAAGATAAGTTTTGTAGTGCACTCGTCAAACTATGATCTTTAGCTTGTTGCTCAATCATTTCATTAATTGTTGGTGTACTGTCTTTCTGTGGATGTTGATTCATTGCATTCGGTGGTCCACCGAGTTGTGGAGGGCGTTTTAATGACGGTGGAGCTGTTTTGTAGCTTGTATTTTCAAAAATCAACGTCTGTTTTGGTAAACTTGCGCCATCAAGCATTGGCTGATTACTAGTAGACGATGATGTAGTCATAGATTGATTTTGGGGATTTTGTAGATTTTGTTGAGATGGTGGCCCAACTTGTTGCTGCTGTTGCTGTTTAATCATGTCAGTCTTTAATACATTAGAATTATTTGTTGTTGCCGAAATTTGTTGATTTGATAATGAGCCACTGCTATTTGATGAATTCAGCTGTTGCATCAGTGAAACTTTGTTGCTTTCATCATTCAATGCTTCTGCATTATTCTTATCCCAGTAATTTCCACTTACTCTCTGATTAGAGCTTGCTGGATCTCTTTGTTGCTTAGCAAATCTTGGTGCCATTCTATTACCTCCATTGTTACGTGGATCATTAGTTCGAGAATCACGATAATTGCTATTATCATACTTATTGTTCGTCTGACTTGAATTGCGCGATTCGATTTGTTTTGAATTGTTCATTCCTGTATTGCTGTATTGTGATGTTGTTGATGTCTGTGAAGTCATTGCAACAGTTGTGGAAACAGTCGACGACGAATTCGATATCGAAGATACTGGCATTTTTCCTGTGCTCGATTGTTGTGATGAGCTCATTGATGGCTTATTTATTGTTGATTTATTAATTGGTGCTGCAGATTTATTACTTTCATATTTTGGCTGTTGTTGACGACCGTTGTATGATTGTGACACAGATGTATTTGAATTAGTGGCACGATTTTTACCGTCATTTGCATTTTTCTCGTCAGCAACAATTTCTTTTTTGATGTCTTGCTGTTGTGAGATGGATGAACTTGAAGCAGATTGAGTGATTGGCTGCGGTATAATATCATTGGAATGCTGCTTATTTGATTCTTCGTTTAATTTGGACGTTGGTGAAGATGCTTTTTGCATTACAAGATTTGAGTTGTCTTTCATACTCTTATTTATGAGACCATCGCTTAGAGCTTTTTGTTTCTGTTTCATACGATCGTCATCGCTTAATTTTTCCTTTTCTTTAGTTCCATCCTTCTTTTCCGATTTTTCGTCGCTAGTACTAAATGGACTTTTTGATGATGGTGGACCATAATTGTCAATTCTTTTAACTGGAGCTGCAATTGAATTATTAGAAACATTTGATCCAGTACGACGGAAATTTGATTGAGATGTAGTCATGCTACTTCCACCGCCACGACCTCTTCTTGATGGCTCACCTCTTGGAGAGAATCCTTCCTTTTGTAGTCCACTTGTGCCATAATTGTCACGTCGATTAATATCTTTACGATTTGGCTTTCGATTCCACGAATCCTGATCATATTCTTCTGAATTTTCAGAGTCACTGTAATCGTAACGTCCACTTCTTGAATGACTGCCACTACCTCCCCTTCTCTGCCAATTTCCACGATATCCTCCATATGAAGAATTTCCACGACCTCTCATCGACGGTTCATATCGATTTGAATGTGGACTTCTCTTATTACTGCCTCCACTGTGCCTAGAATCATCTAAATCTTTTGGTGGCATATCTTTTGATTTCATCGTGTCCTTATTAATTGAATTGTCAAGTTGATGGTCTTTTTCTACCATAATATTTTGTTCCTTTTCAGGAATAATATCTAAACTCTTTTTACTCTGAAGACCTTGTTGTTGGTCAATTGGAACTGTTTCAATAACTTTTTCTTTCTTTTCAATCTCAATCAACTCTTTTGGTGGACTTTGCTCACTTAATACTGTTTTCTGTTCTTCATCTTTAGTCTCTTTACTATTTTCCTTCTTTATGACATTTTCTTTCAACGATAATTGTTCCTGTAATGGTTTGTTTCGCTGCAAAATAGTTCGAGGTTGATCATCACTTATCGCAGACGATTCCGAAACTCTACGTTTCTCTTTAGCATCTAATGAGGAACGTTTATCATTCTCGCATACTTCTGCCCAACATACATTTGATCCTGTCAAAAACTCACGAGAAGTCGACTTCTCTGAGCGGTTGTGATCACTAAGTTTATCAGATGAATCTGACATACTGCGCGAAATTTGGGCTGAAGGAACTGTCTGTGATTTTTTCAATGATCCTGAAGTTGCAGTTTCTTTAATAAATCGTCCATAATCATCTTCTTCTGATTCTTGACGTCTTCGTGTATTATAAGGTTGTTGTTTTGAATTATTCTGTCGATTATCATCAGACGATGATTGTGAAAGTGACGACATATTACGACGTGGTGGATTTCCTTGTTGATTTCCTTTGTTATATTGCATCCAACGTTGTTGTTGTTGCTGATTTTGTTGTTGATCGTAAGATGATTGTGGATGTTGAATGAAAGGAACATTTTTACTATCTTGTTGATGGAGTGGTTTGTAGTTATTTTGAGGTCCTTTTTCACGTCTATCATCTGGTCGATCTCCATATTGTTGCTGCTTTTGGAACCTTGGTGGTAAATTTGATTGAAACGTTGTTTTCTTCATATAATCAGCTCCTCCAGTATTATTACTATTATTATTTCGTCCATATTGTGAATCATACATATCAAACTTGTTATCATTCATATATTTTGAAGGTTTTCCATAATCGCGTTGCATTTGTTGCTGCTGATTTTGCTGATGATCAATTTTCTTGTCAGAATCATTAATCGTATAATTAATACCACTAATCGGTTTCTCTTCAATCTCCTTTTCGTGAGGCTTATCCAATGAAATTTGCATTTTCTGTTGCTTACTTTTCTCTTCGAGCTCTTGCAACTTTCTTTGTGCAGCCACTTTTCTCTCACGCTCTAAACGTTCTTCTTCTTCACGCACCATTTTCATTTTTTCGATATACGACGGATCAATTGATCTTGGACCATTTTGTTGCTTCATCTCTCTCTTTTCACTGTCACGCCATACTAAAATAAAATTTTTTTTTATGTTATAGTTTAATACTTTTTAATGATATTAAATAAGGAAAGTTCATGAACCAAACAGTTTTATTTAAGTATTAAAAGCTGCAGCTCACCATCAATTTTCCGATCATCTCTCATCTTCATATCATCAGCTTCGTCGTCAGAGAATTGTAGTTTTTTATTGTAGTCGACTTCATCGTGCTTAGACCATGCATCGTCTCTTGCTAAAGAGTCAATTCGCTCCAACTCTTCTTCCTTAATAATTGGTCTTTGTACAATTACTTCAGGTTCGAAGGAATTTCTATCGTCATTGTTATTATTGTTGTTGTTGTTATTATTATTATTATTTTGACGCCCAGAATAATGTCTAGGAGGTTGTTGACGATGTCTTGGAGGCAGTCCATTTGAATATTCATTATAATGTGAGGAATTATCGTATTTATTATTATTATTATTTTGACGGCCAGACCTATTTCCCATACTATTATTATTATTATTATTATTATGCATATTTGATTTATGTTGTTGGTAAGTAGGCTGACTTGGAGGACCTGGCGATGCACTCGAGGGTGCAGTGTTGATGTTTGCGATGCCAGTGTTTCCTCCTCGTAGGAATGAAGGCATTAAAGCCATAACTTTTGGCGGTCCATCGATTTCGGGTGTTTGAAAATTGCCTTGCTGACCATTTTCTCCTCCTGCGCCACGTACATTTCCAGAATTTGCGGAATTCAATTGCTGTTGTTGCTGCATCCAGCTTGCTACATCGGTTGACGGACGAAGATTTAGATTTCCTCCGCCTGAATCGAAAGAATTTTGATTCTGTAATTTCTGCTGTTGTGCATTGACATTCTGAATTGATCCCGATGATGCTGTCGCCATTAATGTTCCATCCAATGACGGGAACTCGTTCTGAAATTGTGGACTTTGATAAAGAGGAGGTTGTGATGCAGAATCCTCTTTGACACCTCCAGTTGCTACTGCACTCCATGTTGACGATGAATTGTTGCTATTATTGTTGGTATTATTTGATGAAGCACCTTGATGATGATGCTGCTGCTGCTGTTGTTGCTGTAATTGATTTCCTTGAACTTGGCTATTACTAATAGTATTATTATGGTTTATGTTTGATAATGCTGGATTGTTGTTTGATGATACAGCGTTAATTGTTGAATTTTGTGTACCACTTAGGTTGGAATCTGCCCACGATGCGTTATTTGCAGTCGTTTGTTGTTGTTCGTTTGAAACTTGAGATGGTGGAATTGCTGGAAAACTCGTTTCAGCTTTCAATGATGGCAAATTGGCTGGTGGACGACGTGCTGAGGGCACTTTTCCCAAGCTTTGCATGCCATGCTTACGAGGTGCTGCGTTTTTCTGTGTTGCTGGCTCGAATGTTTCTCCCTTCATATAATAATTTTTTATTAGCAAGTTATAATTATAAGCACGAAAGTGAATACTTACGCGAGTTGACCTGTATAGACTGTTTATATCAAGTGCTGCAAATTTGGGCTTGTTTGGGTTCCGTTCCCGTTCACCCTTATTCCCAAAAGTACTCATTCTGCCGTACCTTCATCAGCGAAAACCTTTATCCTTCGCGCTTTTACTGCTCTTACTGTCTCTTTTGTTTAGTTTCGTTTCTCTGCAAATCGTCTCTTTGCCTTTTTATGTTTATCAAACAATGATTTTTTAAATATATCTTCAGTGATGGGCTCACGCACTTTGTAGCGTAAAGATCCTTCAGTTATTAATATAGGCAGTTTCTTGTTTCTCCAAATTTAGTTCAGAGCGAATATTCTTATTAGAATGATTTGCCAACTAAGCGATTGAAATCTGCAAGATTCAAAATTTTTTATTGTAATATTTTCATGCCAACCAATATTATTAAGAAGAACAAATAACAAAAAGTTTCCGTTCATTGTTCCATTTAGCATTTTCAGCAATCAACTTACATATTTGTTAGATTTGATAATTTTCTTTAAAATTCTTTAAGAATTCGTCCCAATTTTTGTAATTCCGATGAAATCTAGGAAGATGTAATTGAATAATCAGATAAGCCAGTCCAAAGAAAATGAAAGAATTTCGTAACTTTCGTTCAAGAAAAAAAGAGACGACGAAAAAATAATGTATGAAAAAACAACAACAAAAAGTTATGAATGATTCAATGAATAGAGAGGAACTAAGTTTCAATGGAATTCCAAGTCCAAAAAATGAGTTTAAATAAACAAAAAGTAGGTAAAGAATATTTTCATAACTTTTTGTTATTATTTTCTGAAACTTTATGAATCATAATATTATTCGGGAAGTGCCCAAAAAGCAAATTAATTGCATTTTGTTAAATTTAAAAATGGCTGATAAAGAATATAGTATGTACGAGAGTATAGAAGAGGCGTAAAAATTTTGTCGAGAAAATTAATATCTAATAATTTAAGTCCTTAATTTAAATGAATTTAGTGAATCATGTAAGAAATAACCGACCTGTTTACTGGCTTCCTTATAAATTCACTCTTAAATCTGGATATTCGGCAATTCACACATGAAATTTTTCTCACTTATTTCCAATTTTATACTTTTTTGCTAGCTTCTTTGAGGAATTTGAGATATCTTTTAGGAAATAAAATAATTAAACTTTCGCTTCAAATTACTTTTTTATAACAACTTTTTCAGTCTTTTAACACTACTCTCTTAATGTTCTTTTCACTTTTATCTTATCAATGACTCAATGTTGCTTTAATTAACTGTTTTTTCTTAGCAAAATGCCTTTTCTTCGATTTCACGCGTTCAAAAAAATGGCTGAAATTTTCTTTTCTTTAATTCTTCTGAAATTCTCACTTTTACCGATTAAATATACGCATACGGCTTTATTAAGACCTTATTTAAAGATATATAGTTAAAGACTAAGCTAAATAATGTAATTAAACACAATTAAATTAATTATATTGGAAACTCTTATGAATGCGTTTAGTTTCCGCTATGGATGCGTTCAGTTATCTGACAAGGATATGTTCAGTTATGGAATATGTTCGTAATTTTAAATTTTTCTCGAACGTTACTCTTGATTTATTTTCTGATCGAATTAACTTTCTTTGGAAGTCAATTAAACTTTAATGGCAATGAACAAATCTGGAAAAAAAACACGTGTGAGGAAGCAACAAACTACTAGGACATGAGAGAAGAATTGAAGTGTGTAGCAAAAAAAGTTTCTTAAGAAGCTAATTGAAAATCTCAGGGCCAGAATATTTATCGAAATAGAAAAGGGCTTTGCAGTTCTTTTATGTATTTCTTATTGACATTATTAACTGTCGTACGTTCTTCGAGCTATTAAGAATTTATCAACGTGAAAGCTGATTTCAGAAAGATTCTTGATCCAAAAAGCTTGACAATTAATGTAGTACAATTGTCAGTTGAAAATATCCAGTAATCTTAAGCCGACATTTGATAATCAGACTAGACGTTTTTCATAAAATTTATCAAGACCAATGATATACGGAGTTCAAGTATTCCATAGTCGTTAGTATACTGAAGGTATACGAAAAAAGTAAAAATATTTCAATTAACTTTTTTTATATTAATTTTCAATAATTAGTGCTTATAACAACATTCTTCGTCGTTTAAAGGACATCCTTGCTTATGATACAAATGAAAATAACAAGGGCTTGATTTTAATACAACTTTTTTTGACATTGTCCTCTCTGCTATTCTCTTTGGCTTCCTGATTTTCAACTTTCCACTTCTCACTTCAAAGATTTGATGCTTATTCCTGAGTAACGTCTGTAGACCTCCATTTTCAAACTTTAGCTTCTTTAAATCATCTGACGATATCAATTTAACAGCATCAGACAAATATATTTCTGTTCCACAGTTCCAATTGGAATTTTCTAGTATTTTCTGTTCTGATAAGAGTGCATCAAATATAATTCTCACAATTTTCTCAGACAAATTCTTATCAATTTTTGTGCAGTTTCTTACATTAAGCTCTTTTTCACGAGGTGTAAATTCCTTATTAGATGCATCAACAAAGTCTTGGACTTTTTTGCTATATTTTTGGAACTCATCAGACTCGTATACTCTACCCGTACCAATTAAACATATTCTTTTCGTACTTGGAATCTTGAGACGATCAATTAATGTCGATTTAAATCCACAAGTCGTAGAAATTTCTGTTAAATAGTCAATGAAGCTCATATAAAGACTTTTCATTGGACCTCTGCGTTGAAACTTTGTGCCAGAAAATTCAAAAGCACAGCAAGGCAATAAAAAGTAGTTACAAGAAATGCTATTCTGAGCGGCAACCACTGGAACCCAAGGAGAAAGTTCATCAGAATGATTGCCAATTATCCAATCTACGTCATTTAAATTTGTCGTTGGTGACCAAGTTACTTCTCTTAAATCTATCGATGAGTCAAATTTACTCCATATTTTTCTCTTTCTCAAGTCGATTCCGTAGCCTTTATATCCTTCAAGACTTAAAATAGCAACAAGTAGCCCATTTCCACAACCGAAATCAAGAAAACTTTGTTTCTTTTCCTGTTGGCTCTTCCAAAATGTTATTAAATAAGCAGCTATTGCTATATCTTCGTAAATGTATTTTTTCGGATCCGTCACTTCCTCTGTCCAAATTTCCTCAAACTTTCGTCCATACTTTTCTTTTAGTTCAGCATATAATGATGAATATTCCTCGTCATTGATTAATGAATGACTTTCGATTCTTTCATTAGTATCCTCTTCATAGCTTTCGATCCAGCTACACAATTTTTTAATTAATACAAATTGAAGCCAATTTGTTTCTTGTTGAAAATGATTCGAATTGAGCAATAATTGGAGCTGATTATTGGAAAACTTAATAGTATAATTGAAATCAGGCAGGATTTTTGTACAATCATTTATCGCATAGAAGCTAACTGAATTAGACCTTTTACCTTAAAAAATAAAGTCTGATTAGTAGACAAAGAAGTATCAAATTTATTGATGCAGCTTTAAATCACCCACAGACCAGAATCCCCACAAAACGAAAATCACGGGTTTCCAAAACCACCAATTGAAAATGTATTTGGTGTTTCTGGAAACCAGTGTGTTTCATAAACACCATATATGTGTTCTAAGTGGTGGATAAAATCACACGTGTGTTTTTATTCACCACATACAATTGCAAGTGTTGTTTCTTGAAACACATGTGTTTCATATCACCCGAAAATTTTGTCTGTGGGCGTTTTGGAGATCAGTGTAATATTTTTTAAAGTTTAAAAAATAGTGAAAAAAATTACCTGAATCTAAAAATCCCTAAAATGCAGATAGTACTGCCAAACTGCAGATAGTACTGCTAAAGTGCAGATGAAATTTATTTTCCCTAAAATGCAGATGAAATGCTGTTGCTTTAAAAAAGGTATAACGCAGATAATTTTTATCGTATAAAGTGCAGATAAGATGCTGCCTAATTGTAGATCGTATAATTTCATTAAAATACATCAATATTCGATGATTTTTTTCCCTGATGCGTGTTAATGACTTTAATTTATCCATGACGAAATTTAAGGGTAATTATTTTGTCTGACGACATATTTATGTATATATTGGGTCGAGTATCCTTTTTATGAGCTCATCTATATATCTTGCAAAAATGTTACATGTCCTTTAACAACAAAACTAGTGTATCGGGTAGAAACTCAATGCGGATATATTCGCACCGTACCATCAAAAGTCTTATGTATAGACAGAGATTTGTTCAGCATAAGTTTGAAGGTATAAATCTTGACGAACCAGCTTTATATCTTCAAACATATGCTGAGCGAAGCTCAGTTGACTTTCTAGCTTTATACCTTCAAAGCGCAGCTCAGCTGAGCATCGCTCAGCATACGTTTGAAGGAATAAAGCTAGCGTGTCAATTGAGCTTCTCTCAGCATATGTTTGAAGGTTTTAAACTTAACGAACATTCTTTAAAAGTATTTTAAAAAAAATTTTCATCCAAAGTTTAATTTTATAAAAATCACAGTAAACTTTTGTTTTAGAACGTTCGTAGGAAAGGAAGGTTTTTTGCTTTTTCTGAAGCAACGGCTGTTCCTACCTTGCCCAAAAAGAATACAGCTCATTTATAGAGCAGCACGGATCAAATATATAAAACTAGAAGTCTCTACGAGGTATCGTTATTGAGATTTCTTGCTTGCTTGCTTGTTTACTTACAGAAAGCGCATTTTGCTATTTTCTCAGCAATGCCTCAATCAATTTGAAATCTGATTTTTGCAAAAGATGTAAAATTTCAGGCACAAACTTTTCTTCTAGAACCTTTTATAACCAATTTTGCTTCGTTTTCTCACAAAATGCGAAAAACTAATTTTTCAATCTGAACAAAACCAATAGATTCACACGTGAAAACGGTGTGAATATAATAAATACATTCGCAGATATATCAATGAAAGCTCCCAAAGTTATAACAAAATTTATAAAAATTATATGTTGTGATTTTCCGACATAACTCTTTAACTTTAGAAAATGAGTTCTATGTCAAAAGAAATCGATTTTTGTTTTCTACAAGATAAAATAACTTTGAAATTTGTCACTATTATGGTTTCGGAGATACTAAAGAAATCATAGCGTCACTCACGAATAATTTTTTTTCGTGGGGCCCAAATAATTAATATCCAACGTTAAATTATCTGCATTATAACAGCATTTCATATTTATTTTATTAAAACTATACGATCTACATTTAGGCAGCATCTTATCTGCACTTTATACGATAAAAATTATCTGCATTATACCTTTTTTAAAGCAACAGCATTTCATCTGCATTTTAGAGAAAATAAATTTCATCTGCACTTTAGCAGTACTATCTGCAGTTTGGCAGTACTATCTGCATTTTAGGGATTTTTAGATTCAGGTAATTTTTTTCACTATTTTTTAAACTTTAAAAAATATTTCGCTGATCTCCAAAACGCCTACAGATAAAATTTTCGGGTGATATGAAACACATGTGTTTCAAGAAACACCACTTGCAATTGTATGTGGTGAATAAAAACACACGTGTGATTTTATCCACCACTTAGAACACATATATGGTGTTTATGAAACACACTGGTTTCCAGAAACACCAAATACATTTTCAAGTGGTGGTTTTGGAAACCCGTGATTTTCGTTTTGTGGGGATTCTGGTCTGTGGGTGATTTAAAGCTGCATCAAATTTGTTAAGTGACTTACAGAATATTGTCAATTGGTAACATGATTTATGCTTGCTGACATTTCTTGGGATGATTTTATCATAAGAAAATAAAATTTCTTCTTGGTGCTCGTCCATATGATTAAATTCATCCTCCAGTTTTGTGTTGAAATGTTCTACATCTCTTAATTTTAGTATGTCAGCCTCATCTTCGTTGGAACTTAAAACTTTTAATAAATTTTCTGTTTTCTCTTTAGTTCTTGCTGTTAAAATATTCTTTGTTGTGTTTAGCTTTCTATTCACAACTTGTGGCTTCTTTAGATATATTTGGATAGCATGATAGAAGGCTTCTATCTGTATTTCCTTATTAAAATTAATTAAATCTTTTATTTCCAACATTTTGCACACTCTTTTGTTTACATTAAAATTCAACATTGACTACGGATAATCTTTTCATGTGTTTATTTCAAAATTTTGTGTCAATTAGAAAAGTTTAATTAATTTGAGTAAAACGAGTATGATTGAGAAGGAAAAAGGTGAAATCAAGGAATATGATATCTATAGAGACTCTTTGTTACGCTATTTAGGTAAATATTAATTTCTATAGGTGAAAATTTTGTGTATGTTTTATCAACGGTGATGCAATTTGGATTTTCTCCATGAAATGTCCTCAATGACCTACTTATATTAATCTCATAGGCTACTCAAATGAATTAGGAGAAAGCTTTAGACCTTTGATTGACAAAAAGTGGGTACATGCTAGCTATGGATTAGCAATAGCTTACGTTTTTGCCGACACTTATGATAAATCCATGAAAACCTTTAAAAGTACAAACGGAAATGTCACAAAATCCTTAATTACTGGCGGAGACGTAGTCATCTGGCAAATGCTGGCATCTGTAGCTATTCCTGGATTTACAATCAACCGTATTTGTTGGGCAGTCGGTAAAGGAATTAAAGCTGCCAAATTCAAGCACAAACTCGGAAAATGGATTCCAACGATCGTTGGGTTATCATCAATTCCGTTCATCATACATCCAATCGATCGAACAGTGGATAAATTAATGGACAATACTTATCGCAAATATTTAAATAACCTTTGAGATGTTGATCTTCCAATAGTAAGCAATAACGAACAATATGGTGCAAGTAATTCTGATAATAACAGAAACAAAAACTTCTTAACTTTACATAAAATTGTAATGCCTCAATTACATTTATTAGAATTTATATCGCTACGAATTTAACTCTTCTTTTTGACTAGTTCTTAAGTTATTGGACGAAATAAAACGAAGGATTTAGATTTTTGATCAAATTATTGATAATCACTTGTAAAGCTCAATTTATTAATTTCAGTACATCGCTAATCTGTTTGATAATGTACTTTAATTATATTTTAAATTAAAACCTTCAGACGGTAAATTAAAGAATCTTTGTTAATATAGCAGATTACGATAAGAAAAAAATGATTGATTTGAGTGGCGTGTAGGATGATGTCTGGGAAATTATTCTGAAATAGAGATAAAGTTTCAAGGAGCTATTCTAAGTGATAAGCTATTACAATGCAATTTTAGAAACCAAAATTAAAAAATTTATTAATAATGTATAATATTCGTAACATAAAATGCGTTAGATTTAACAAGACACATAGTTCTAGTTTGAATATATTATTAAGCTCTGAATTTGTATAGATAGATAGGCATGGTTATTCTTTGATTTCATTACATATTATTGAAAAATAGCCGTCTCATTAAATTATTGAATAGAAATGTCTTTTCCACATTTTTAAAAATGTAAATGTTAACTAATTTAGCTAATTCTACTAAATACGCATGCACAATTAAATCAAAGAAATAGCTGATTTTACTGTTTAAATAGAAATTCATTTTACTAAAAAAGAAATTATAATAAAATTTTCAAGTCACATGTTGACAAAATGCATAATATCCCTAATACATATCAGTTAAAAATGCATTTCTGGACAAAGATTTGTAAGATAGCATAAAGCGCTTCGTTGATTAATTTAACTGCATTTAACATGACAATCCACCTCCTTCGTTTTCCTTAACATACTTCAAGACGTATTGAATTTGCTTGTCATTGAGTCCCAAGCTTTCAGCTTCTTCCAAAAATTGTTTTGAGCCACCAACACCTACTAAATATCCATTCAATTTTGTAGCCACGTAGGATGTTTGTAATAATTTTGATGATGTTGGAGAAAGGCCTAAATCACTAGCCAGCTTTTTATGAGCTTGTAGACGATATTTCTGATGATAACTGCATGACATTGGCAATAAATAAAAAAATTGAGTTAATTGTCATCGCTTCCATTTAAGCTTATCAGCTTATCGAGCTCTTAAGTGAGAACTAAGTGCTTTTATAAGATAACTTATGAAATGTTGGAGAAAAAAAAAAAACAAAGACAAGATGTAAAGGAAAAGTACTCACTCTTCTGCAGGATAGAATGTACTTGCTTTAAAAATCTGCGTAATAATCGTCTCATTGGAGCGAGCTTTCTGTTCCGCTTCTCTGCTTTTTTCAGCAGTTTCTTTCTGTTCATCGTTGTGATAGAAAATTATTGAGGCATATTGCTTCTTTATTTTCGTTGTAAGACCATATTCATGATTATTCCAAAATAGGTTGAGCAATTTTTCAAAAGCAATGGTTTTTGGGTCGTAGTGAATTTCGATGACTTCCGTATGATCACCTCTATACATTTCAAAAGATTTTAAAAATTATTTGGTAAATTTTTAATGAGTCATAATGATCTTACAAATTTCTATAAACAGGATTGTCCAAACTTCCACCAGAATATCCAACTTTCGTTCTCAGAACACCCTTTTGAGCACCATAAAGACTATCAGATGACCAAAAACAACCCATTCCAAAAGTTGCTGATAATGATTATAACAAAAAGATAATTAGCTGCAATTACGACATAATTTATTCATCTTTGATCTTGTAAATATTACCTTTCTCAAACTGTGTCTCAATTTCATGTTTGGGTACGGGTAGTGTCTTCTGCAAATTGCGTGTAAAATTTAAATTAATTAAACTGATAGTTTTCCAATTTCTTAGATTTAGGAATTTCATAATGTGTTCTTACTCCGTAGAAGTAGCAAAAAACTAGGAACGCAATAGACAGCAAGTAAGAAAACCCTTTAAATGTCAAGGCCATACTTAAAATTCTTAAAATTTAGAATACTTTTGACTAGTTGACTATTTTTAATTTAACTTAATAAAATCAAACGAAAATATTTCCAGCCACCTCACAACTTTTTGTTTATATTGTAATGATGCACAATACAGAAATAAGAAGATAGAAAAGTATGTAGGAATAACACATATAAACCATATAAATGAGCCAATAAGAATCTACTTAATTTTTAAATTTTGGAGATCAATTTTCGTTAGAATTTTCTGTAAGCATGATCAATATTAATTTTTCGTCAAGTCCTTTGCGTGATGAAATTCCACAAAACACTTATTATAATCGTTACCTTGGATTCATCGTCGCTTGAACTAGTTCCTTTTTTGTTCAAGGTCAGCTTCGAAAAATTGTCCGAGATGGTTTTCAACATTTTTTTTTTTTTTGATTCCAATAATACACAAAGCCTTTTATTCAATATTTTCTTAATAAATTAATTAAAATAATGCTTTACTATGAGAAAGCAACTCAATTCGTTGATTACTGAATTAACACTGAACAATGTTAATGTAGATTTCACAATCATTTTCACTCACATAAATCCAATGAGAAACAATCAACCACCGAGTAATGTTGATGTAAATGAAAAGTCACTTGATAGCGACATTATTGGAGCGCATTTCTAGTCGTTGCCTTCCTTTATCAATAATTTACACTAAACTTTGGAATATTAAAACAAGGAAAATGAAATTGAGTGCTGTAGATTAAAAATTAAGATTTAAATTAATCTCAGGATTAAAAAAATGGTTGTCAGTAAAAATGTAAGCAGCATGCCAATTACTTCTGTAAAATGTGTTTAATAAAATCTAAAATAAATTTTCCGAATTGCATAAAACGCGCTTGGAGTAAGTAGGAATCTAGTACGACAGTAGCCAACATTAAAGGTTTTACCATACTTCTATTTTCTCGCAATACTCGTTATAATTAATTAAGATGGAGGTGAGTTAAAATAACATAAAATTCTTTATAAGCTTAGTAATAATAAGACAATGGATTACAGATTGAAGTTTTGGATTCGCGCAACTCGAAAGGTAAAAAATTGATTTTTTTTATTGAATACCTTTCCCACTAGTTTTTAAAAATTGACTTTTGGCCTCTTCTATCTTTTGTTCGCTGTATGTTTGGACATTCAACAGTTGTGGCAAAATGCAATGTCAAGTCAACAACAACGATTAAAGACTTGAAGACACAAGTCCATTCAAGCAATAAGAAATTACATCCTCATCGTCAGGCATTTCGGTTGGAAGTCAAAGGAAAAATGCTCAAAGATTCAGACACAATGGAATCATTGAATTTGAGAAGTGGAAGTAAATTGTATATAAAAGATCTTGGTCCACAAATTGGATGGAGTACAGTTTTCTTAGCTGAATATGCCGGTCCGTTACTTGTATATTTGTGGATTTATCAACGTCCATGGCTGTTTTATGGCGATTCGTCAGCAGAAATTAGTCAAACAGCACAGTAAGCTTAAAGCTTTAATTTCTTTTTAATTGTAAAGTGCTCATTGGATTTGCATTGATTATTTTAGTATTGCCGCTGCATGCTGGACAATTCATTATGCAAAGAGACTTCTCGAAACTATTTTCGTTCATCGATTCTCGCATGCAACAATGCCATTACGCAATTTATTTAAGAACTGTATTTATTATTGGGGATTTGCTGCCTATGTTGCCTATCATGTTAATCATCCACAATTTACATCGCCGTGCATGACTCAAGTTTATATCGCACTCGGCGGATTTTTGGTAAGTAGATTATTTTTATTTGACTATGTGTAGCATAACGGTATCATCACATCTTTAATTTTCTCTTTCTTCAGATAAGTGAACTTGGAAATTTGTCGATTCACATTAATTTGAGAAATCTTCGACCACCAGGCACATCAATTAGAAAAATTCCAGTTGCTGATGCAAATCCTTTAACTGCTTTATTTAACTTTGTTTCCTGTCCAAATTATACTTATGAATTCCTTGCATGGCTTTCGTTTTCAATTTTAACACAATGCCTTCCTGCCTTCGTATTTGCACTTGCTGGCGTTTTTCAAATGGCAGTTTGGGCTTTGGGCAAGCACAGAAACTACAAAAAGGAATTCAAGGATTATCCAAAATGTAGAAAAGCTATCATTCCATTTATTTTATAAATTTGTTACCAGCAACTAATTCTTTGCAATACAACAATTGCAGTTAATTATTTTTCTTATAATCAGGTTGATAGGTTGTTTAAGCATGCGAATAAAGGCTCATTTTCTATAATTTGGAAAGGAAACGGTTTGGGATTTCGAAAGCATTTAATTGTTGATTAATATTTGAACAAAGTAAAACAAGATATCTAATAAGAATCTTGATCTGTAATAATAAAATTGGGAACCAAAAACATGTCTTACTGTACTTTTTTATTAACATCATTAGGATATTACGTTTCTTAGATGTCTATCGGAGCTTGATTCTTCAAATGCTTCTCGATTATTTCCTTTTCATTGTTTTTCAGTTGTTCGAGTGTTAACAAAGACAAGCCGAGTTGATCTTCACGATTAAAAGGCTGAGCCATTTGTTTCAAGAAATTTTTGGATAGCTGCATTGCTTCTTCGGTACTCAAATTAGAATAATTGTCTGTAAGATTTTCTTGAATCCATTTTGGCAATTTTCCACGCTTATCTTGACGTTGAAATCTTTTATCAGCAAAAATCATTATGCCATAATCAGTTTTACCTCGAATAGCACGTCCAACACATTGAGCTGCATGTCGGAGAGCATCAAAAGTAAGAAAATCATTTTCCTTGATTTGAAATTGATCTCTTAAATACTCTAGACGAGCTTTTAAAATACGTGATTGTGTGTAAACATAAGGAATTCCAAACATAAGAACAGCTCGACCAAGATGATGATCAAAATCCACTCCTTCTGATACTTTTCCGCGAGCAACGGCTAATAAAACAGCTCCTCGTCCGCAATCACAAGCTTTAACATAATTCATTAAAGCATAGGACGTTTCTGCTGAATCTTGTGTCTCAATAAACAGCAATTTGTATTTTAAAAGTGTATCAATAATACCTTGATCGTACCACGATGCTACAACAGATTCCAAATACATGTAGGATGTAAAAAAACATACGACTCCATCGGGCACGATTTTAGCTGTTTCAACAAGTAATTGTCCATAATTTCTTATTACTGCTGTATCTTCTCGCGATTCAAATTTAGAACTGATAGCAACTTGATCATTTCCACGTGTCACTATCAGTGGAAGTAGACATGGACGAGCTAAAGTCATAGTAAATGAACTCATGACTACTGGTGAAAAATCCAATATCTTTGGATACATATCCATTGGACTTAGAGTACCAGATGTAATAACTACAGATTGGAAACGTCTAAAGATTGGTCTCATCGCAATTGATGAATCGAGGCAACTAAAGTATAAAACTGGATTTGAAACTGTTGGAGTTTTGTCATCAAAAGGCTCAATAATAATTGTAAATCCTTGTGTATATGTCGACACTAAGGTTGCAAAATGTGTAATGACTGTAAGTCCACCGAAATCATTTAAATCTGTTATTTCTAATGTTCTCATTAACGACTGAAGTCGTTCAGCACAAAATCTTAATGGTTTTCTATCAATACATACTTTAGCGTGAATATCTTTTAAAAATCCAGCAGGTGACTCCTGAATGACATGCTGAACTCTTAATCGTGTCTTTAAATAAGCTATAAATCGGTTCAAAAATCCCAAGAAATGATCAGCATGACGAATATTTCCTGGCACAGCTTCTCTTAAAATGTCATCAGGAAGAACTGGATTGGCTAGCATACGATCAGTTTCTCTCGCTTGATAAACATCTCTTAATCCTTGAACCATTTTTGCATATTCTTCTTGTAGCTTCTTTTGGTCGTCTTCTTTCATCTCTTGTACCATTTTTTCTAGCGTCACGAGAGCCGTTGATCCTCTTTCTATTACCCTTTTATTAATACGAACACTCATAGAATCTATGCATACATTGTCAATATTGTGCGCCTCTATAAAGATCCAATAATTAGAACATTTATTCTTTAATTAAAAGTAATTTTTATCTTACCATCACAAACGACCACAGATTCCTTAGCAAGTTCTTTTGAAACAATGTCAGCAACTTTTGGATCGAGAAGATAATGATAGCTGTAAACTACAACTTGAGCTTGAACGATGGCAAAACGAGAAGTAAAATAAGGACACCAATTTCTTTGTTTTCCATACTCTTTTAAATCATCCAAGCTGTAAACGCCTATTGGTAAATGAGACTCACGTCCTTCATTCTGAAATCCTTCAAAATATTGACAAGAAGGAGCTGTTTCATCGTATTCTTGTCTTTCTCGTACACAACTTGCTGTTAATCCATAACACTTTGCATCGACTAATTTACCGTCCTTTTCTCTACAAACTTCTGGATGTATGCACATATTTTTTCGGGAACTAAGCACAACGCCAGTGATGTTTGGCTTTTCATTTGAATGCTTCTCATAATATGCCACCAAATTCTGTAATTCAGCAATTACTTTCTCGATTTCGGGCACTGTACGTGAGCAGTAAATCAGTTTTCTGACTACATGAGGATTTTCGAGCATATATGCAACAATTAATGACAAAAGTGTAGCCGTTTTTCCAGTTCCAGAAGGCATTTCAAGTAGGCAATGTCCCTTAATTAACAAATCCAGATTGATCATTTCGTAATTTTATGAAAATGATTATTATTACTTACTTTTGCATCCAAAGTCTTCTTCAGTTCCAGCATATAAGCATATTGCTCTGGATAGATATAATCGTAAGGAAAGTACACCAATAAGCCATCGACAGTCAATCTAATTAAATGAATAAATTTGTTTATTTTGCCGGCACAACTTTTCAACGCTTTTACCTCATTTTGCTTAATTAATCAGATATGCTTTAATATTTTTCGAAAACCCACTGTTTATTTAATCTGACGTAACTTTAACTTTGACTGTATCTTGTTTCTTTCTTATTATATTCACACCGTTTTTTAAATTAATTAAAAGTTCTTGTTTGAAATTTCAACGAATTTTGAAAGCACACTTCGAAAATAACTTCGAAAATTCGAAATAAACACTCGAAAATAATTTCGAAAATTCGAAATAAACATTCAAAATAAACATTCGAGAATTCAAAATAAACATTCGAAAATTCGAACAAACATTAAAAATAAACATTTGAAAATAAATCTCGATTATAAACGAAAATCATAATTTAATTAAAATACAGTGAAAATGACTGCAAAAGCTGAAACTAAGAGTATAAATGGTAAGTTTAAATGCTGTGCTTTATTAATAATCAAAAGAATAACATTAAACCCCGTTAATTTTAGAGAAAAAAGTTATAAAGCGAAAATTGGAAATTAAGGAAGAAGTTGACGATGAAGAACCGGTAATTTCAAAAGAAAAGATTATCAAGCAATGTCCTTACTTGGATACTATCAATCGTCATGTCTTAGACTTTGATTTTGAAAAGTTGTGTTCAGTTTCATTGACTAGAATTAATGGTAAGCATAAATACTTACTTTAAAACCTATAAATCAAACTTACAGGCTGTTTATGTTACAGTTTATGCTTGTCTTGTTTGTGGAAAGTATTTTCAAGGAAGAGGTAATAATACTCATGCCTATACGCATTCAGTTGGCGAATCGCATCATGTATTTCTGAATCTTTTAAGTCTTCGATTTTATTGTTTGCCGGATAATTACGAGATCATCGATTCCTCATTGGATGTAAGTGCTCATTATTATTCTTGGTGCATGAAGTTTTATTTAAATTTCATTGAGTGACATTTTGTTTAATCAATAAAGGATATCAAGTATGTTTTGAATCCAACGTTTACTAAAATTGACATCAACATCCTCGATGAAGCAGAAAAGGCAAAAACGTCCAGAACGCTCGATGGAACTTTATATCATCCAGGAATCGTTGGACTTAATAATATTAAAGCAAATGATTATTGTAACGTTGTTTTGCAAGCACTTTCACACGTTGGTCCAATTAGGGATTATTTTCTTAATGAGCTAAGTTATGCAAAAATTAAAAGATCATCTGGAGATTCTCCTTTTGCGATTGTACAGCGATTTGGTGAATTAATGAGGAAGTTATGGAATCCTAGAAATTTTAAGGCTCACGTATCACCTCATGAAATGTTACAAGCTGTCGTATTGTGGAGCAATAAGAAATTCCAAATTATTGAGCAAAGTGATCCAATTGACTTTCTGACTTGGTTCTTGCATGAATTACATCGACAACTTCGTGGAAATAAAAACCCAAATTCAAGCATCATAAATAGAACGTTTTTGGGAGAAATGAAAATTTATTCGAGAAAGATTCCACCTGTTGAATGCGACGATGCACAAAAGGAAGTACTTTTAGCAACCGAAGAGTATAAAGAAACTATTGAGACATCTAATTTTCTTTATTTAAATTGTGACTTACCTCCACCACCATTGTTTATTGATGAATTTCGTGAGAACATTATTCCACAAGTTAATTTGTATCAACTACTCGCCAAATTTAATGGAGTCACCGAGAAGGAATATAAATCGTACAAAGATAATTTCATGAAACGATTTGAGATCACAATACTGCCTAAGTTTATCATTTTGTACATCAAGCGATTCACTAAAAATACTTTTTTCATTGACAAAAATCCAACAATTGTCAACTTTCCTGTCAAGTCAGTATTAAAATTAATAGCACTTGAAATTTTCGATTAAATTGAATGTATTTCTTTTCTCACAGAAACGTAGATTTTGGAGACATCCTTACACCAGAACATAAGAAGAAGCATCCAGAAACGCGATATAACTTGATTGCTAATATTGTACATGATGGCGAGCCTGGAAAGGGAACTTATCGAGCTCATATTTTACATAAGGCAACAAATCAGTGGTTTGAAATGCAAGATTTGCATGTTACTTTAATTTTGCCACAAATGATTACACTTACTGAGGCATATATCCAAATATATGAGCAGCAAGGCTCTTAGAGATTTGCTAGATTTAAGGAATAAAAGAAATTGTTTTCAAATCACCTTTAATTCAATTTTTTTTATTATCATCAAAAACACAACGTTTTTAAATTAAATTTATTACTTTAAATATAAATTTCGTCTCTTAAAGATTTTTTTACTTCTTTATTTTTTTTTTGTCGAAAGCCACAAAGATGAGAAATTTAGTACGATCATTCAAACATTTTGTATTTCAGGAAAAAGAAATCGGGGAAAATAAATCCATTAATTGAGCAATAAATTTACAATTGCTTGTTTGTTAAATCACTTCGTTGCAGAATGTATTGTAGGATCATCCAAAAATTACTGACTTGAAATCTTACAATTTTGATTCTACTCCTGCTTTGTTATCTTTAATCATAGGAAAATGCGGAATAAAAGCACAAAAGTTTTGTTGATGGCTGAGTTTTTTGTGAGGCACAATTTAAAATGCAGCTTTTTGTGAAATTACATTTAGATTTAAATGTAGTTAAATATTCACAAAAAGCTCAGCCTTACAGATATCGAAGAGGGGGAAGCTTTAAAGGTTGATGGTAACGCAAGATTTGGCACATTCATTCATTCGTTATTGGAAATAAAAGGGTATTTGTTATTTGAAATACCTCTCGAAAAGGAAATATATTTCTCCATTCACCAATTTTACTTGATAAGTTTTGTTTTTATAGATATACATGACTAATTCTATTATTTTTTTTATCATCATCATCATCGTCCTATTTTCTATTCTACATTTTAAATCTCTTAAGATCCTTTTCAACATTGAATAGAGGAATATATAATGCATTTTACGGAAGGATTAAACATAATATTGAGAGAGAATAGCGAAAAGAACAACAAATCACCATCAAATGTCCATCAAAGAAGAGTTTCAGATATGTTATTCAGATGGTTGCTAATAATTCACTAAAAATCTTTATAAATTTTGTGCTATCAATAAATTTTTTATCACTCTTTGTTTCATTAGTGTATTTTTGTGTGGGCATTAAAATCGGTTCACAAAAATGCACTAATTTTGCTGACTTGCGAAGACTTTTGTGAATTCTGGATTTGATATTTTTAATATATTTTTTTTAAAAAACAAAGAAAACGCAACAAAAATTCATTTATGTGTAACAGGTGGTTCATGTTTCTTGGTGTGACTGACTTCATTGATTTACTCTTTGCACTTTTTACATGCTTTCATAAAAAAAACTCATAGTCATTACTATTTCTTTTGTTTTATAGGCACTGAAGATATAATCACGTTAATAAAATGATACTTGAAATCAAAAAAAATTAAACAGAAAGAGAAATATTCGAAAATTTTAGTCTTGCCTGATTTCTAATAGTTATCAATTATTAATAATTACTTTATGTATGAATATCTTCTTATACTTTCCTATTTCGCCCTTTCTTTCGCTTCCCACTTGAATTTTTCGAACAATTTTCAGTGCGACGTTGTTGTTGATTATTATTATTATTATTAGTACTATTATTATTTGAGTGATTTTCATTTACAGTGCTATTAAGGTTTGATTCTGATGTTTTAAATGAAAAACGTTGCAATAAGTTAACAAAATACGATGAAACTCCAAAATTATTAGCATAGCTATTAATATTGTTGTTATTTGTTGGTGATTCATCGCTGACTGATTCAGCGTAAGCGTGTTCTCATAAATTTTTCGGCTTTCCATTGTGTGCATTTCGTTTTGTGACTGAAGAACCTGAATCTGTTCGATTGAGTCCCATTGCGGTCTCCACATTTTCGCGTGACAAGCCTGTTGCTGCAGAAACTGCTTGTGTAGTGACTTCCTTCACACGACGCTCGAGGAATATTTCATAAAAAGGTTTCAAACACTAAAAGGACATTAATTAGGCATCGCATTAGTTTATATACTTTTGGATGTACTCACATATTCCCAAATATTTTCAGCAAACGAATCCAATTTCATACCGACATCTACAAACTCGCCGCTATATCTGTAGAATAAAGGAAATGAATTTCGGTTTATCTTTTAATTCAGATATATCACCCACCTAATGTAAGACCAAATACATAAAGCAATTATGTTAATTGCCATTATTAATGTCATGAAATTGCAGAAAGTTTCGAGAGCAAGGAGGGCGAAAATTCCACTCATAATGTACGTAATAAGTGCAACAGCCAAGAAAACTCCAGGTGTTTGAGCTGCCTTAAAAATGTTTTTACTTTCGTTTTGTTCCTTATAATTGATAAATGCATCCTCGACAAAATCAACCAATTGTTGCTTATAAATTTCTGAAAACTCTTCACCTCCCATTTTTCGTTTGCTCACAAAATGATAAACTGCTTTCTCACGTGCTCTAACATGCTCAACTTCAAGGTATTGTGGCTTCTGATATGGACTTTTTCCACCACAAATATCGTCCATATGCTGTGAATAAATGTCTTTTGCTGCAGCAACGGCATTAAGATTATTTGCCTCGGCTGTAGCTAAAAGCATTGTTTTCGGTTCAGGCATGTCTTCACTCTTAAAAATATTCAAGTACGATTTGAAATATTGCACCAAATCACGCGCCTTAACTTTTTGTCCATTAATTTCCTTTACAATCAGATTTTCAGGTGCCATAACTAGAGGAATCAAATCGATGAGACTCTGTTTGAATTCAGGTGTAATGTCTTGTAAATTTCCATTGAACGTTGGATTCGTTGCAACATTTAATCCAGGATGAGGCATCAAAAAACATGAAATTTCGTTAAAACATGCCTGAATGTGACGTCTTAATGACTGATGATCCGGATGTTGTTTGTCATGAATTTCTAATCTTTTCTTGAGTATTGTATTGCCACCATCTGAACCGTATTCAGCTTCGTAAGGAAAACTCCAATCACGAACTAGGAACATTAACTTTTGAAAGGGTGTTTTGCCTTTAAAATAAAAATTTATAAATATATTTTAACTGCTTACGAGAGTCAATTTGATAAGTTACCCGTGTCAGCAAGTGCAAGTCTTCCATATTCTGTAAACAATTGTAAATGCTGTAAATCGTCTTCTTGAATATTTTGTGACAAGTTGTAAATCTGTACTGATGATAACATTGTACTTAATGCAAACACTGTTGCACAATCTTTAACTGTACTAAGGCTATCAAAGGTTCCTTGTGTGTCGAGTAAAATGATCGCAACTTTACGTCCATTAGGATAATCGTGCAGGAAAATGTCAGACCACATATATATTCCTGTTGTCACTCGATCTGAACCTCCTCGCCATGAAAATCCAGTCAATGGATCATCATCCTGTCCTAACCATCCATCCATATTTTGATGAACATACTAAAAGTATTGCATGAGTAAGTTAAGAAGGAGTAATATTACAGCATAAGGAACATACCCGTGCATACATGTATCGCAGGAAAAAGTCCAAAAGAAAGGATTTGCCTTTTCTGAAAGCACCAGCCACAGATACAATGACAACATCGCGATTCTTAACATTATCTTGCAGTATAAATTTTGTTAGATCTTCGTCTGATAACCGAAATGTATGAGCTTCCTCATTGACTTTTACAATCTGAATTGCTTCAGCTGTTAATATTGATCCACCGCTTGACATTTTTTCTTTCTTTCGTTTTCGTTAGACGACGTTATATCTAAGGTATGTAAACAATAAGAAAAAGAGAATAAAATGACATTTTGAGCTTCGAGTGTCTCTCTGTGTAAATTTAGAATCAGCTGGGTTATGCGATATATTTAAAGAAATATTTTGACTAATTTTTCCCATAATCCTTTAGCCAAAAAAGCTGTATAATAGAGACAATTACGACAGCGGTATAATGCTTAAATTTAAAGTGTGAATAATCCGGCTAGAAATGACATCACTATGATGAGAATTCGATATAATGCGAGATGAGATGGGAAAATGATCTCCATAATAACAAGTTTTGTTTGTTAATAAAAAAAAAACAAAAGCTTTACTTTGTAAGTTTATACAGACAGGCAGTCAATGGAATTTGAAACTGCCTTAATTCTTTCTATTTTATTAACCTATGTGATCTCTTATTTAATTATTCACTGTGTAATGTGCAGATATTCTCAAGGTCAATCTACTCCGATTATTAAATATTCCTACAAATTAGTCAGTGACTGAATGACAATTGAAAATGTGTAATAATCACGATAAAAATATTCCTTTTTGGAGACATTGACCGAGTCTTTAGCAAATATGGATTTTATTATATACTTAAATTTAGTCAAGATAATAAGATTTAAAAATTGATAAGAAAGTCTCGTTCTTAAAATCACGAAAAGTAAGTATATTTTGTGTGTGCAACACCAACCGAAAATATGTAAACGTGTCACAACGTCATAACAAAGAAGTCAGTCACAATCACTCAAAGAAAGCTAGGAATCGGACTAAAAGGTGTAATGAAAATAAAAACTTTTTTTTTCTTCTTTTAATTATAAAACAAGTTACATGAATTGAAAAAGAAAGTAGATGAAGCTGGTTTTATTTTTGGACTGGCCGTATATTTCGCTTAAAACTGCTTAATATTTTTTTTGCTCATCTCTCTTGCTAATTCATCTTTTTTGAGTATTTTCAATGAGTTTTTGATCACAATATTCAACTTTTATCCCACACACTCAAGTTTTAATATGCTACTTAACATACAGTATCAGTTTTTAATTAGATTCCTATTCAATGCACGTTTTTCTGAATAAATATAATTAGTACTTTGTTGGAAAATATTTTAAAATTATTAAATCGTGGATCATTTGTAATCACAGAAATCGTCAACGCAATAAACAATAAAATTGGCACAATAACATTTATCTCTTTCACACCATTAATTTCTGATGATTTATCAGCATAGAGTAGTTGATTCTTATCGGAAAATTTAATTAAACTTAGTTGATGCCTTATTTCTTTGATAACAATGAATTTATTCCTTTTATTTTCTTTCTCTTTCATTTTTCACTTCCACTTATTTTTATTAAATTTTCATTGTTTTCTTTGTTTTTTAAACGTTTGTTCTAGATATTCACCTTTATTATCTACTTATGCAACCAATAACACCTTTTTTATGCTCAATTAATATGTTTTTCCTTGTTAAATTTGAAAAAAATTAAATTTTCATTATGATTTCTTTTAATATGACAATTTGGGACTCATTCAAAAATGATGTCAAATGTTTTAAATATGAAACGGTTACCTAATATTCTGATATTCTACAAATATTTTCTATAGAGATTTTGTGACATGTGGGAGATGGGTACTTAATTTAACAGATGCCCAATAGCCAAATTTAATAACACGGTTATTAGTGAACGTAATTTATAAACAATTCTCTTTACAATTTTTCACTATAGGTTCAAATATTTTTTGATCGTTATTTTTTCGACTAAAGAAAATAATCGATAGAATGAAACATTTAATTAAGTTTATCTCTTTTGTTCCAACTGCATTGCATCTTGTTTGTGAAACATCGTTGATTAATTTACTTACAACTGTCAACCAAATTGTCATTGGGTAACTCAATTAAATGAAAAATGCTTAAAAAGTACGTTACATTCCAGCCACGTGCTTACCTTACTTTGTAATTATTGTCAAAAGAAGAAATGTCAATCTTAGTAAGCTATAAGTTTGTGAAATGATTGGAATCACTATAAAAGCAATTGATTTTCTCTTGAATAGAGCCTGTGCCAAATCGAAGAAATTCTACGAAATAATTTATGGAACATCATCGAGCTTCGCTAAAAAGTTTATTGCATTCGTTTATGGACTTCTCATCGGATTAATTTTTTATTATTCAATCATACGCTTTATTGCATTTTCTGGCAAATATAGTCATTTTGCGATACTGATAACGTGCCTTTCATCAGCATTCCTATGTCTTTTTTCAAAACAATTTCGATGTATTTCCATTCTAATGTGGCTTTCAGCACTTGGAAAAGCTGGAAGAAGTTTAATTAAAACGATTATAATTGCGTTGGTTTTATCGGGTCCGATACATAATATTGTGTCTAATACAAAAGAGGTTACACGTGTTTTCGAATGTACGGCATATCTTACATACAATTTAACGAAAACCAAAGTTGATTTGGCAATTATGCCTTTTATCAACGCATTCGTTCAAATGCAAAGTAATTTAAGCGCGGTACAAGCGAGCTTTGATGAGATTGAGGATGTAGTTTTTCCAATTATCCAAGAAGTCGAAGATTTTAATCGTACAAATCAAAGGTAAGCTCATTTGTGTATGTAGAATGAAAAGTTAATGCATGTCTCTATGTAACAAATCAAATCAGCAGCACACGCAAAATCCGAAAAACCAATGTCAATCCACCAGAGACATATACCAAACAATATCAAGCAAAGTTGAAACATCGATGTGAAATGCAATTAGAAAGAGGAACAACAAAATGTAAACAGTCATTCCAAAGAGTCTACGATGACTGCTTAAAAGAAGCAAATTTCTTGATTTGTTCACCACTAAAAATAGATTTCATTTGTAATTTAAATGATGTTGCATCAAGCTTAGTAACAGATCTCTGTGATCCATCAAACGTGATTGATGCTGATTTCGGTGATGAATATGCACATTTGAAAGAAAAAGAAATGAATTTTGTGTCTGAATATAGCAACATATCGTTTGATTTCATGGCAACTAATCCAAAAGAGTTACATCCTATCAAGACATTGAATGAAACTGGCAGAGAACTGAGTAGAAGTCTTAATGAAAAAGCTTATTTGATGGATTATATTTTTAGATTCTGTGATAAATTAATGATATTGATATACCTGAAAATCATATACGGTAAAGATTGACTTTAATCTCTCATCTTATTATTTAACTTTAATATATTGTTCTTAATTTTCAACATTTAATAGATGGTATCACATATCACGATAATTATTTGAGTAACATTAATTTCAACAATTACTACATTACAAGTTATTTCAAGGAAATTGATGAACGTAGGACTCAAGAGAGAAGACGAAGCATTTTACCTGTCAGAAGTATCGAGTTTGATCAAATTGTTGATTTGGATGGGTCAAAAAAAATCCGTAAAGAATTCGAGGGATATCTTAGTTTGACATTAAGACTTATATTGCACATAATTGGTGCAAGCTTCTTCATTGTCCTTGATCGATTATATTTTGAACTTTTGGACATTATTGCACGTCACTCACGAATTGATTATGAACAGGAAGGATTTCATCATATGAATATTACCGTTAATGGAACTGGTTTTGTTGCTAATCTGATTAGAACTTCAGTAAACGGATTTAATATAAATAAGAATATTGACCTCATGATGACAAATGATGTATGCTTACCTCATCCATCTCTCACCGAGTCATTCACGATAGGACTAATTTATTTATTATTTTCATTGAATTTCTATTTGATCTACAATCAAGTGTACATTCATCGTTTAAAGCGAGCTGTTTGTGCTTACTTTTATCCAAAACTTGAGAAAAGACGAATCATCGTGCTTTACAATAAGATGCTGAGAGATCGAAGAAAGATTTTTAATACAATATTGGATGCCATAAAATATGATGGAGACATAAATAATGTCAATAAATTTAAGCAGGTATTCTTCAACCTTTTAACAGTTTTAATTTTTCTTTGACATTTTGACTCAATTTTCCTAGAAATTTCTCAAACAACTTCTGAAAATCTGCAAATGTTTTCAAATATTCTCTTTTGCAAGAAATAAATGCTTTTTATGTCATGCAGTGCAGCCAAATAAAAATACCAACAATTCAATGATCTTCTGGATATGCAATACGGAAAAGTGCTGTGCAATCTTTTGTGACCAATGTTGGAGTGACATTGGCAAAAATTGTTTAATCTGTTACATAAGAAGAACTGGAGAAGAAGAAATCAATAATTCAAAATAACAATAGAAATATGGAGCAATAAATCAGTAAACGAAGCAGAATCGTAGGATTATGATGCTTGAATTGTGTAGCTCTACATTTTAATGAATGTGATGTAATAATTTTCACAATAATTCAAATATATTAACGACATTTCCGCACATTTTATTCTCAGCTTTTAACTTTACTTCCTCCTTTTTCCTCATTTCTCTTTTTTTATCCTTACGTTACCGTGTGCTTGCATTCACTACTCTCGAAGCCATTTAATGTATATAAGCGATAAAGAATGAAAACGATTGTTATAAAGACCATTTTAACGATATTAATATCGTCTTTATAGCAATCTATAATCAAGATTTATTCTGTCGTTATTTCTAATTTTTAAGGTGCAAAGATAATAAAAAGAGCAGTTAAAGTAGGAAGCAGGCAGTTCATTTTGTTCCTTAAAAAACAACAAAATGTTTAAAACTTTAATGGGAATTTAAAAAAAATCACATCCAAGAAAAGTATGAAGAAGTAGGATGAAGGGATTATTACAGTAACCATAATAATGTTATCAAAATGTGCAAAATCACGATAAGAAGTGAAAACACATTAAGATTCAGTTTATTGTTTTGTGTGTAAGAAATAAAACGAAAGAAAATGTTCCATTATGGATACGATTCTCCTTTTCCTCACTTACTCACTTGCTCACTTGCTCATTCATTTCATTTCATGTCTGGCAGGATGCTTAAATTTTGTTTTATTTTGAGCGAATTATAATGCATATAAAATTCCCCCTCCTTCATTCTTCTGCAAGTATGTAGTTATAGCAACAGTGGTAGTCTCACAATTCCTCGCTTCTTGAATTTGAAAAATGGTTTTAATGGTTTATGGAAATTTTTTTCTCATCTTTTCTCTCTTTTCACAGCCTGTATGCATTATATTTTCATTTTGTACATGAGATAAAATACAGGTGGAATAAGTTTTTGGTAGCAATTGAAAGACCAAATAAGAAACTTATTTACAACTTTGCATTAATAAATTATTTTCAATTCAAGCTAACGTTAGTACTTCAAATGCGCATGCAAAAAATAGATAATCTGAAAATGGCTGTAAAATGGTGTTAATTATTGTGATAATATACATATTTTGCTTTTTATTTTATTAGTAAGTTCATATAAAACAGATCACAATAAAAAAGCTATATTTATTACAACGTTTACTATTTGCATCCAATTAGTCTCTTAACACACTTAATTCTGTGCATTTTATTATTTCAAAATTAAATTTTATTTAAATAAAGACGTAAATTCCAATGTTAATAACAATTTTTAAATCTGAATTGTCCTTAAAACTGTCGGCGACCTACAATATACCTACTGTCAAAATGAAGCTTCATTTTCTTTTTTATACAAAAAAGTATGAAATTGAATTTAACGGATGTTGAGACTTCCGCTGAAAAGGAAGAAAAACAAAATTAGATTAGATATGTATCTTTATTTTTCTATTCATTCCTACATGCAGCATATCCTTTTGTAATTATTGGTAAATATAATGTAACCCACACGCTATTTTATAAGCCCTCAAGTGTACTTGAAGAAAAATTAAGAGAATATGAATAAAATATCATCGGCCTTATTTGGCTAATTTAGAAGCAATTGAGTGTTGTTTGAAATATTAAATTTATTCCTAATGACGCATCATCTATGATTTCAAAAACATTAACATGGACTTGTGTTGTACATAACATAATGATTTGAACATTTGTTTAGATAAGTTAAATTAAACTCTATTTTTGAAATCACAGTAAAATACTTTAAAAATCAGTAATTCATCTGGAATTTCAATTTGCATATAGAGAATATTTCCGTGACTCGAGTGCAGTGTAATTATTGAGTTTTAATTTCGATATGAATTAACATTATGAAATGAACTTAAAATTTATTTTTTTAAAAACTTTTTTATTGAAATGAATTTCAATATTGACTATATATTTGGCTATGCAATTAATACAGAAGATCCATTAAAATAATAAAATCAGATATTCGAAAATGTACACAAAAAATGAATGTTACAATAATTTTTAATTATCCATAATCGCATGTATGTGCATGTACTTATTACTACGCATATTGAATGAGAGAGATGTGATATTCATGCATAAATGTACATTAAAAAGTTCAGATGATTAAAAATAATTGTAGAATTAAAAAATTATATTCGTATACGTTATCATGATGGTGACTTAATGCAAAATTATAGTCGTAAAATATTTATTGAAAATAAAATAAAATTTTGCATACATGATTGTCGCAATGAGATTTTTTTTTCAACTCCTACTCCCATTTCATGAGTATCCCCTATAGAGAATCTTATGAATACGATTTAATGTATTTATTTTGGGTTGATATTTTGTTGAACAAAAGCTTAACCACATATTATGCACTTTGCATCAAAATCGATTATTTATTGAAATTCGGTATTTCAAAAATATGTACATGCACAAAACGCGTGAATATACTCTTTATTGAAAATTTACCTATACATGCATTTATGCGCGTATATAATTTAATTTGTTTAATTCGATTCAATATTTAAAAGCACTTATTATTTTAGCAGTTCCAGATTGGAAGCGATAAAAAGTGCACATAACATAATAAAGCGAATATAAATAATTTTTTTTTTATCCAGAATAATTGCTAGGCAAAAAATTTGAAATGGAAAATCACTACGGAAAAAGCTATTATTGCATCATTGGACTGGAGGGTTGAAAAAAAAGACTTTGAATTTTTTTTTACTCACTTCGTTTATCGGTAACAAATGCCATAAACTTTATTTAAAGAGCCGACCGCAATTCAAACAATGGAGCAGTGATTGGTTTTTCATCTCATTTTTTTTGTATACTCTATTCTATCCTCCTCATAGAATTATGCCATTGTTCGAAAAAAAATTCAATTCATTTTTATTTATTTATCGTTTATTTTTCTTATTTTTCAATGGTTTGCAAATTGAGGTCGATAGAAATTTTTTTATTGTTGAGTGGATTATGAAATGGCATCAACAATGAAAAATTCACAGTGAGTATAGGTTTAAACAATTTTATTTTTCAGCGCCAAAAATTTTGAAGGATTTAACCACACAACTTTTCATTATAGTTTATTGTATCTTTTTTGATCCTAAACTATTGCCATTTATTTAGCATGCGCTTTATCAAAAATTTACTCTTCATATATGATTGTAGCTTCCATTTATAAATAAAAGCATAATTTTTACAAAAAGTGCTTAATCGGAAATGCTTTAACATAAATACTCTGATAAATACATAAACTGTTCACAGCATCATCTGAATAAAATGTATTTGTAATTATGCTGCTATTGTTAAAAGTAATTGTTGTAGCTGATGCAATTTGTGTTTATTATAAGAGAATATGTGAATGTATAGAAGCATCCCCTGTTCATATTATGATTATCACGTAAAATAAGTTAACTTAAGTTGACAGGAAATGCCACTATTTTTGATTGGATGTTTCGGATACTTTCTTTATCGTTGAATGAACTAAGCTGCTGTTAAATGCAGTTGATTTAATTAATTTAAATGACCGATCGAAACAATTTAATAAGTTTATGAACTGAATCCTTGAATGTGCTTAATAAAAGCAGTATTTATGTGAAAATATGCAGCATAAATTTGACAATTAAGCAATCAACATTCTCTAACATTCTATTTTATATGAATGTAAATTTTATAATTTGCTTTGCTATCCTTTGTGGATGATAACCATGCATGGTAATTGTCTATCATAAATGCAAATCATGAGATGAAAACTACAAAGATGAAGCAAGGGTCTCATTCAGTTATGATGTCCCTCATTCTAGCGGAAGAGGTCTGAATTTTAAACAGATCTGTTGCCAATTAGAATTGACAACGATATTTTAAAGTTTGAATTCTTAAAGCTCATAAATATAGTGAATTGCCCATTGAGCTTTCTTTTGGACATCATTAATAGATATTTTGCTTCCTCAACAAATTTCAAACGTAAAATTAAAAGAAAAATAAATTTAAAAATTAAAAATGCCATCGGCATTGGAGAAGAGAAAAATGCAAAAAGGAATGAAAGAAGAAATAAATGAAATTATGAAGCGAGTCGAGGCATGATATTTCTAGATTTTCCACCATTCATTGCCGTTAGATAACAAAAGACGTGCTTTACTGAAGCGTATAATTGCAATCAGAGTGAGAAATAGGTAGAATTGGTGAGAAAAATAGACGAGAAGGAGTTGGAGAAAAAGTACTACATGGTAGTAGAGAGAATCCTATGAATATAATTGACCTAATCATTGATCAATATTTTTATCCACTCTTCGTAACGTTAAATGCATTGCTACAACAATAATAAAGAACTTTTTAAATGCTAGAAAAGAGATATAAAATTTTTACTCTGCGGGAAATGGACGTAAACTAATTGCTGTTTTTCATTTCAAGCACTTTCCAATCGACAGAAAAAAGGAGCAGAAAAAAAGTTTAGAAATGGAAATTTATGTTCTTTAATTATCCATTTAATATGCAGCTCTTATCTTTTTTGTTTCTTTTCCTCTATCCCATATACATTCAATGCATAATTGCTATCACATCGATTGATTGGGTTGAGAATCATTAGAAGTGCTTTATTCTGCTGACTGTGCGCTTCTAGATATTTCAATCAATAATGCAATGCATGCAATTACCTATCTATGTATGAACATATATAGACGTATTAATTTACCAACTCACACAGTAGAAGCAAATGTAGCAATAGAATTTTATTAGTAAAAATAGCAATTTGCGTTTATCGAAAAGTTTAATGGAAATTTTCATTTAGTTTTTTAGCTGTGAGGATGAAAAAACAGTTGAAGAGATGAAAGCAATTTTTTTGCATATTCAGTTGGGAATCGAGATATAAATGAGAGAACTGAAAAAAAAATTCAATTTCCTGACAATTTTGTCGATATGCTGAGCATTGCTGTTGTTGTGAATTTACTTGATTCATATGATTACACAGATGATGACGATGATGATGATGCTTGGAAGGATGATGAAGAACAAAAACGCAAACTAAAATCATTTCGCTTATAAAAAATAATAATAATAGTTTATTACAATATTGCCATTTGTAGTTTTTGCTATGCTAGATGTTTACATGACAGAAATGGATCAAATAAAGCATGCCGAGTAAATGTAGAAAAATCCAAAGAACATTCCTTAATATTCATTATAAAACTTACGCATCTTCAGATACATGTGGTTCATATATTAAATTTATCCTTTTTAATTTGTTCCTTTAATCCTTTTCAACAGAGAAGGAACAAAATATCAGTAATAAAATAAAGATATCAAAAAGAAAATGACAAATCAAGACATCCTTTTCCCATATGACACCGGAATCAAAAGTTCTATGCCTGTTTTGCTGTATCATTAAGAACACGTTGATATTGTACGTTAAAAAAGCGTGATAGACGAATAACTTCAGAAGAGGTGTAACCTATGGAATCAAAACAAGAATGTAGAACAGATAATTTACTATGATATGCCAAGAGACGATGTCAACGTTGGAGCAAAATAAGTTTAAACTTGTTTCGAATGTTTTTCGAACAAAATTTCGCAATTTCGAAAATCATATTTTTTATGAAAATTTTAACTTTTCGCAATTTATGACTTAATTCACTTATTATTTAGGAATCGAATCCTTCTACTATGTTAATCAACACTCATTTAATCGTTTAATCGATGATAAATGCAGGAAACATTAGTTTAATATGATTTTTTTCAAAAATATTCAAAATATTTTGTTGTTGTTTACATTGAAAATTAAAATGTCATTAATTCACTTGCATTAATTGTTTATCAAATCAGTAATGATTCATTACAGTTGAGTGGATTCTTTTAGCATTTTGATGATGAAAAACAAATATGTAAACCATTAATTAAAGAGATTAGACATTAATAATTTAACGTGAAAAAAAAATTTGAACTCATGCTCGAAAATAAGGTCCCAAAAAAAAATCAATATCGAAAATAAGGACTCGTTGGCGTACCATAGATAATTTATTGTGATAAAAAAATGTAACTTTATTTTCTTAAATTAATCCACAAATATTTTACTGTGCTATGTATGGGATTTGATAAATATGTAATATATAAAAAGCATCCAAGGAATTTAAATATAATTTGGCTGTACTCGATTAATTTCTGAATCTAAAGTCCGTATCCTTTAAGTTTTCTTCAATCCACTTGTCCAATTGTTGAACCATTTTTTTACTCAGTTCTGTATTCTTCTCAACACTTCCATTTCTGACGAAACCTTGAGCATGCTTTGAGAGAATCCCTACATCTTCTAAATTTTTACAATTTATTGAAGGGTTATTTTTGAAATTTTTTATGTGAAGATGATCAAGCAATTTTGGATAGTCTGAATCTCGAAGAGGCTTTTCGAGAAATTCAGAGAGTTCTTTCAATGATCCTTTTAGATCTGTAAGCAAATCTTCATAAAAAAGAAACAACACGTTTTCTTCATTCCGACGGTTCCATCCATCTTTAATGTGCTCAAAATATGGACTCCAATGTACTGTAAGGAAGTGAATGTAAGAAATGTAAAATGATGAAAACATAATTTTTTTTAAAAAAGGAAATTATGAAAAATGAACGTACATAAATCATTCAAGAAGTTCTTGAAAAACATTTCAAAGTCGTTGACATATCCTTGCGTTCGATACAATTTATTAAGATGGTAATATGATACGACAACATCCTTTGGGTTCCGTGCAATATAAACAACTTTTGCTTGTTGTGACATGATACTAGGTGGTAGTAACTTGAAAGGTAAGTGTGTTTTTATAAATCTTTGTTCTTCCATGTCTGCAAAAAATTTATAGCCTGGCGTGGAAAGACATTCAATCAAATCTCGTTTCCCCTTTTCACCTTCATTTTCTTTTAAAAATCTTGCTTTCATTTTATCGTGCATGAATAGATGAAACCTACGAAATACGTATTATGTTATCATTTTAGAAATAGTACGGACCCTCATTTCATTTCTTTTTTTAATTTTGAACGTGACAAATAAAATAAATCAAGGTAAAATTAAGCGTGTGATGGAAACGTTTTCTTATCACTTTATACATATAGAATAGGGAGCTAAAGAATAGCTTACTCACTCAAAAAATGGAAAACGTTCATTTAATGTTATCTTTCTTGCCGTCTCATAGTCTAAATCATTACAGATTAGCCATATCATCTCTTGTGTCCATGTCGTCCCACTGCGTGGATATGTACAAATCCAAACATCATCGCTACGTGCCTCAAAATTATAAATGTCGTTGGCACAATGCTTGAATTTATCGGGCAGTAGCCATTTTTCAGGCAATACTTGAACGAACCCTGTTGGCTGGCCTGCAAAAAATAACTTTATGTGAATTATGTATCACATGAGAGATGTGTAGAGATGAAATGAAAAGAGAAAGAGACAAAAGTGTGAAAATGTATGATGTACGTGCATGAGAAATCAAAATCAAATTGCTACCAATTAATTATAGTATGAAATGTGGTGAATAAAACGAGATAATTTTTTATTTCATGCTTTTATGCTTTCATCATGACACAATCGTCAATTTGCTTCATTATGTTCTTGCTATATAGTCAATATTGACGTTGAACTTTATTGATTGTTCTTAAACTATTGAGAACGTGTTCTATAAGGTCAATAATCGGTTTATTCGCCTCATCGTCATCTCTTTCGTAAAAATTAAGTTGTCTTTTGCACATAATATTATCAATTTGAAAGTTTGCCGAACCAAAACATTCATACTTCCTGTTTATGTGTAAACTAAAACTTAAAAATTTCTCTTACAAATGACACTTTACTTTTCATAGAAAACGAGACATTGGAATCTCTATACATAAGCAGATTATATTATTAAATTATATTTTTGCTATATAATCTTCACTTTACTTCACAGCAGCAACACAAAATAATCCACCTTACTTATATTTCTTCTTATTCTCTCTTTTTTCTTTAACATACCTTGAAAATCTCGAATGAATTGCTCCTTCATGTCACCAACAGCTTCCTTAATTTCATAAGGAAATTCATTTTCTCCTTTATTGTTATTATATGCCATTCTTGTAAACTATATGTATGCTTCTTCAACCTTCTATAGCTTCTACAATAATACTTGATTTTCTACCTTAAAATTGTCTATTCCTTTATATTAATTTTTACGATAGCTATTTTTAAATAAATGGTTTATTGTTAATATGAAGAAGACTTTAAATAAAGCAAAGATAAATAAATTTTCTTCGCACTGTAAAAATGTTTTAAGTGATACTCATCGATATCTTCAAACAACTGAGACATACACCTGGGACTTTAATTTTGGTAAGCGTTTAATTTCATATTTTGGAAAGTTTTCTCTTCTGCTTTGTTTGTCTTCTCCCACTCTTTGTGCTTTTTTTAAAATGTATTGGTTGGAATTTTTAAATGCATTGACTTTCTATACAAACGAGTAGTATGCATTTTGTGAAAATACATTGAAATGCGTTGCCAATAAGCAGTTGAAGTTTTAATTAATATTTTGCCTCTTTTCACTTCTTTTTAATGTTTTCAATTAATGAGCAAAAGTATTAATTTCACTTTTGCATTAACAAACCAACCAGAAAATACCCTCCAAAAGTTACCAAGAAATTTGCTGACGATAAAATACTGGAAATTTGTAGTAACTTAAAAAGAATTTTTTCAAATAAATGCAGAAAATATGCAGGAAATATGCAGGCAACATGCAGGAATAAAATTAAAGGCAAAATAAATCAAGAAATTTGCTGGAAATTTGAAGGAAATACACCGGAAAAACTAAAATGTGAGAATTTATTCAAAATTTGTAGGAATACATATATTCACACCGTATTTACGTATATATTGTATTTGGTCAGATTGTAAAATCAGTTTTTTGGATTTTTCAGGAAAACGAAGCTTAAAGATAAATCAAGATACACATCAAATAGTGTGTGCTTTCAGTTTTACATCATAATCAAAGGTCAGAATTGAAATTGATAAATGCATTGTTGAGAACAACGCAAAATTCACTTTATGCAAGCAAGCAAACAAACATGAAATCTCAATAGCAAGACATCGTATAGACTTCGTATTTTTTTTCAATCGATTCGTGTTACTCTATAGAGGAACTGATTAGTTTTTTTGGCAAGGTAGGAACAGCCATTGCTTCAGAAAAAGCAAAAAACTTTCCTTTCTTACGATTTTTAAAAACAAAAGTTTACAGTTATTTTTATAAAATTCAACTTTGGATGAAATTTTTTTTTAAAAAACTTCGAAAGAATGTTTGGCATATTCGTTAAGCTTTAAACTTTCAGGCATATGCTGAGCGAAGCTCAGCTGACTCGCTAGCTTTATGCCTTCAAACTTATGCTGAGCAAATCTTTGTCTATCCATAAGACTTTTGATCGTACGGTGTGAATATATCCGCATTGGGTTTCTACCCGAAACACTATTTTTTTAATACGTTCGCGAATGTATGTTTACATGTATATTACCACCTGCAAATTTCTTGCAAATTTTATAGAAATTTTCTAAATAAGTGAATTAACAAATTGCTGCAAATTTTCAGTAAATTTCCTGTTCAAGTTCATTCGAAAAATTTCTTACAAGTCGCTGAAAATTTCCTGCAAATTTCCAGCATTTAATCGCCAGCAAATTTCCTGGTTATCGCTAACTTTTGGAGGGTGCAACATAGTGCAAAAGTAGCTACTTTTTAACATTTTCGACTGCAAATCTGCCAGAACTTAGCAGAAATTGCTCAAACTGACAAAGCAATTTGTGTGAATGTTCTTAAATCAATAAAACTTGACAAAATAAATTATAAAACATTATTTCAAAGGTACAGTGAATTTATGGTGCAACCTAGTGCAAAAGTAGCTACTATTTAACATTTTCGACTGCAAATCTGCCAGGACTTCACAGAAATTGCTCAAACTGACAAAGCAATTTGTGTGAATGTTCTTAAATCAATAAATAAAGACAAAAAATTTGTTAAACATGATTTCAAAGATACAGTAAATTTATGATGCAACCTAGTGCAAAGGTAGCTACTATTTAACATTTTCGACTGCAAATCTGCCAGGACTTCACAGAAATTGCTCAAACTGACAAAGCAATTTGTGTGAATGTTCTTAAATCAATAAATAAAGACAAAAAATTTGTTAAACATGATTTCAAAGATACAGTAAATTTATGATGCAACCTAGTGCAAAGGTAGCTACTATTTAACATTTTCGACTGCAAATCTGCCAGGACTTCACAGAAATTGCTCAAACTGACAAAGCAATTTGTGCGAATGTTCTAAAATCAATAAATAAAGACAAAAAATTTGTTAAACATGATTTCAAAGATACAGTAAATTTATGATGCAACCTAGTGCAAAGGTAGCTACTATTTAACATTTTCGACTGCAAATCTGCCAGGACTTCATAGAAATTGCTCAAACTGACAAAGCAATTTATGTGAATGTTCTAAAATCAATAAATAAAGACAAAAAATTTGTTAAAAATGATTTCAAAGATACAGTAAATTTATGATGCAACCTAGTGCAAAGGTAGCTACTATTTAACATTTTCGACTGCAAATCTGCCAGGACTTAACAGAAATTGCTCAAACTGACAAAGCAATTTGTGTGAATGTTCTTAAATCAATAAATAAAGACAAAAAATTTGTTAAACATGATTTCAAAGATACAGCAAATTTATGATGCAACCTAGTGCAAAGGTAGCTACTATTTAACATTTTCGACTGCAAATCTGCCAGGACTTCACAGAAATTGCTCAAACTGACAAAGCAATTTGTGTGAATGTTCTTAAATCAATAAATAAAGACAAAAAATTTGTTAAACATGATTTCAAAGATACAGTGAATTTATGATGCAACCTAGTGCAAAGGTAGCTACTATTTAACAATTTTGACTGCAAATCTGCCAGGACTTCATAGAAATTGCTCAAACTGACAAAGCAATTTGTGTAAATGCTCTTAAATCAATAAAACATGACAAAAAATTTGTTTAACATGATTTCAAAGATAAAGTGAATTTATGGTGCAACATAGTGCAAAAGTAGCTACTTTTTAACATTTTCGACTGCAAATCTGCCAGAACTTAGCAGAAATTGCTCAAACTGACAAAGCAATTTGTGTGAATGTTCTTAAATCAATAAAACTTGACAAAATAAATTATAAAACATTATTTCAAAGGTACAGTGAATTTATGGTGCAACCTAGTGCAAAAGTAGCTACTATTTAACATTTTCGACTGCAAATCTGCCAGGACTTCACAGAAATTGCTCAAACTGACAAAGCAATTTGTGTGAATGTTCTTAAATCAATAAATAAAGACAAAAAATTTGTTAAACATGATTTCAAAGATACAGTAAATTTATGATGCAACCTAGTGCAAAGGTAGCTACTATTTAACATTTTCGACTGCAAATCTGCCAGGACTTCACAGAAATTGCTCAAACTGACAAAGCAATTTGTGCGAATGTTCTAAAATCAATAAATAAAGACAAAAAATTTGTTAAACATGATTTCAAAGATACAGTAAATTTATGATGCAACCTAGTGCAAAGGTAGCTACTATTTAACATTTTCGACTGCAAATCTGCCAGGACTTCACAGAAATTGCTCAAACTGACAAAGCAATTTGTGCGAATGTTCTAAAATCAATAAATAAAGACAAAAAATTTGTTAAACATGATTTCAAAGATACAGTAAATTTATGATGCAACCTAGTGCAAAGGTAGCTACTATTTAACATTTTCGACTGCAAATCTGCCAGGACTTCACAGAAATTGCTCAAACTGACAAAGCAATTTGTGCGAATGTTCTAAAATCAATAAATAAAGACAAAAAATTTGTTAAACATGATTTCAAAGATACAGTAAATTTATGATGCAACCTAGTGCAAAGGTAGCTACTATTTAACATTTTCGACTGCAAATCTGCCAGGACTTCACAGAAATTGCTCAAACTGACAAAGCAATTTGTGCGAATGTTCTAAAATCAATAAATAAAGACAAAAAATTTGTTAAACATGATTTCAAAGATACAGTAAATTTATGATGCAACATAGTGCAAAAGTAGCTACTTTTTAACATTTTCGACTGCAAATCTGCCAGAACTTAGCAGAAATTGCTCAAACTGACAAAGCAATTTGTGTGAATGTTCTTAAATCAATAAAACTTGACAAAATAAATTATAAAACATTATTTCAAAGGTACAGTGAATTTATGGTGCAACCTAGTGCAAAAGTAGCTACTATTTAACATTTTCGACTGCAAATCTGCCAGGACTTCACAGAAATTGCTCAAACTGACAAAGCAATTTGTGTGAATGTTCTTAAATCAATAAATAAAGACAAAAAATTTGTTAAACATGATTTCAAAGATACAGTAAATTTATGATGCAACCTAGTGCAAAGGTAGCTACTATTTAACATTTTCGACTGCAAATCTGCCAGGACTTCACAGAAATTGCTCAAACTGACAAAGCAATTTGTGCGAATGTTCTAAAATCAATAAATAAAGACAAAAAATTTGTTAAACATGATTTCAAAGATACAGTAAATTTATGATGCAACCTAGTGCAAAAGTAGCTACTTTTTAACATTTTCGACTGCAAATCTGCCAGGACTTCATAGAAATTGCTCAAACTGACAAAGCAATTTGTGTGAATGCTCCTAAATCAATTAAAAATGACAACAAATTTGTTAAACATGATTTCAAAGATACAGTGAATTTATGATGCAACCTAGTGCAAAAGTAGCTACTATTTAACATTTTCGACTGCAAATCTGCCAGCACTTCACAGAAATCGCTCAAACTGACAAAGCAATTTGTGTGAATGTTCTTAAATCAATAAATAAAGACAAAAAATTTGTTAAACATGATTTCAAAGATACAGTGAATTTATGTTGCAACCTAGTGCAAAAGTAGCTACTTTTTAACATTTTCGACTGCAAATCTGCCAGGACTTCATAGAAATTGCTCAAACTGACAAAGCAATTTGTGTGAATGCTCCTAAATCAATTAAAAATGACAACAAATTTGTTAAACATGATTTCAAAGATACAGTGAATTTATGATGCAACCTAGTGCAAAGGTAGCTACTATTTAACATTTTTGACTGCAAATCTGCCAGCACTTCACAGAAATTGCTGAAACTGACAAAGCAATTTGTGTGAATGTTCTTAAATCAATAAATAAAGACAAAAAATTTGTTAAACATGATTTCAAAGATACAGTAAATTTATGATGCAACCTAGTGCAAAGGTAGCTACTATTTAACATTTTCGACTGCAAATCTGCCA